CAATGCAGACAGTCTATTTCAAAAGTTTGAGGTTTGAGAAGTGCTTTTTTTTTTGGAAAGCACTACTGCGTGCTACGTGCGAGCTAGTTTCACAAACCCTGGGCTTGTGGTGACCGTGAGCTGTGCTATGATCACGATAGCCATCTTAAGCCAACTTCCCCTGACAGATGTGCCGCACAACATCCGAATCGTCGAGAGCGGACGGGGGGAACATCGGTGAGCTGCACCCATATGACACCGTCATGCTTTTGAAACGGTTTGCTAGCGATCGCGAACTTTCACAGGACTGATCCAAACGTCTTTGTGGTTGAACAGGTCAAACCATTTGGAGTCATGTGGGGCTTTCACTTGTTCATATTCTTTATTGGTCTCGCTGTTCAAAAGACATGTGACGCGCAGAATTAGGTAGTCAAAAGTATCAACTTGAGACTTCAAAATTCAAACCGACGCATTGATTTCCAGGAGCCGCTCGTATCCTTCAGGCATTCCTACGTGGCTATTGTTGGTGCCATGCCCTGTGTGCCCAGGCCTCTGATTGCCCCCAATCGCAAGAAGCGCTTGGTTTACCTGGAGGTAGGCCAGCTGTTACTGCGAAAGTATCCAAGCGAATCAACTGCCAGATCGATTCGTTTTTTACTGAAACTTTGTCGGAATGAACCGCCGGAACCCCTGGTAGCACTTGAATGGTTGGAACAAGCACCAAGGGCTGATGGGGACATTGATATTCGTCTTCCACCCGTGCTTGATAGATTAGCCCCAGTCATGCGCTTCAATGCAAGGCACCGATAAGGGAAACGCGTGATGTCAAAACATGCTTTTGCTGTGTCGCTTGCCAAGCCCGACAAAACCACAACGACCAGGTTGGGAAGGGTGGTAACTTGGTTGGCCCATTGTTTGTCCGCTGCAAGCAGCTTAAACATTGCCCGTCCTAGAGCTTGCTATAGCAACACTGGCCGTGACTTCCATGGCTTCTCCAAGCAATGAGATTAATCCCAGGACTGAACATCGATGCAAAGATTTATGGTTGCTTCATATTTTATCTGTTTCATCCCATTCAAACGTGGTGAGGACGGATGTGGTAGTGATGAACCCAAAGGACTGTGCCAATGTGTGCTCTTCAATGGCGCATACATAGTGTTTACTTGCCATTTTACTCCATGTGTTTTCCCCACACTTGCCAGCTTGACGAAACCAGGAACGGAGCAGCTGGAGCATCTTCTTTCGCTCAGAATCATGGGGGTCTGATTCTGATGCCAGTGTTGACCCAAATGAAGATTCGCAGGCAGGGGCCACATTTCACATTTCTGAATGCGGATTTTCATCGAGACTCCAGGCTGCAAACGGCTCCTGCCAGGTTGCTCTGCCACGGTGCAAAAAAAGGGCGTTTGCAGCTGCAGAGGCCTTCTTCTCAGATGCCCAAAAATGTAAAAATCTCCCTGGCGGTGCAGTGTTCAGAGTCTCCAGTTTACTTGCTTGTCTTTAGCAAGGCTGCAAGGAGATCAAATGCTTCTCCAGAGGCTTGCGGGCTTGACAAACATCCTTCGTGAATCAACATTCGAACCCAGTCTTTGGAGATCATGAAAGTTTCAAACTGAATATACCAAAGCATTTTAGAGCCGGTTGTTTTCTTTGTTAAGGCCGCTATCACCGAGTCAGAAACAATGTCTGACTTGCTTGGGCCCCTGTCAGCCTTGAGGGTTAATCAAAAAAGTCCTAAATGCACAGCAACTTTTGTTGGAAGCCCTCTGTTCTCTGATTTTATTCCTCTGGCAAGGCGGTAATGGTGGCTTACAGAGCTGCTTTGGTGTCGTCAGGGCTTGAGGCTCCCGAGCTATTTGCTATGTTTTTGTGTTGCTTTCAAAGGTTCTTGTTTGACATCAGCTGTCTTGCTTGGCAAGGCTGGAAGAACAGCATCTTCAGCTGACAAGGTCTTTACAGATGTTTTAAAAAAAACCTCATGTTCAGCTCAGCAGTGAGCCCATCAGTTCTTGTTTAACACCGGGTCATATCCCACACTGGCAGCACCTCCTTGGTTGCCTCGATCTTTTGGTGAGGCTCCTGTACTTGCAGCTACTTCTTCGCCTGAGGCCTTCATACTTCGAATTCTTCTACTGGTAAATGCGTCGAATCTTTCTTGATTCCTGCTTTCCAAGATTGATGTGTGCAGTAACTTTTCACTAAGTTTGCTGAGTCCTTCTGGTGCTCATGGCTGCTGAATCTGAAACTTCTTTTGAGCGATGATGTGGATTGAACATTGTTGTCATGTCAGTCAAACTTGTGGCAAGGCCTCAGGAGTAGCAGCGGTGAACCTGGAGGCTTTACTGGACATGGCAAGCGTGGAATTTCTTCTGAAAATAGTTTGACGCATGTGGCAAACTTACATGTCCCACCCACAATGCCATCCGTGACTTAGCCTCCTACGTCGCATGGAAGAAAGGTAAAGTCATTCACACCGAGAGTCAGCGTTGTTCAGGTTCAGAATCTCCAGAAGCGAGCGCGAATTGCCTCCGATGGTCTAGAGCTGCAGTAAATACAACAGCAGCTATGATGTTTACTCAATTTGGATCGCTGGCCCGTGTTGTTTGACCAATGCAAGCCTGCGCTGAAAAGGATGGAATTCACCAGATGCAGTGATTTCAGGCGATTGCAAGCTGATTTGTCGCCCCAGCTTCAGAACGGATTGCAAATTGCAAATTTCACGCGGTGGCGGCACACAATCCCGGTTGTTGTCATTTCAGACCTCATGGTCTCCTCAAGCCACCAGAAGGGATGAAGATCCTTTCCCTTCAGGAGGCAATGGCCAAACTGAAGGTTGCTTCCCAAAAAGGTGCCATGGAGTCATCGGTGAAAAAGCCTTTCAAAAAGAAGTCCAAAAGAATGAGCAGGCACTGAATTCATTTTATTGTGAACAATTGTTCGGTTGACTTGTTCACATTAAACCCAAGAGCTGTTCCAAACACTCAGCCACTAGTTCATGATCAACTGAAGCTATTTCAGATACCAGTCCATATGCAGAAGCATCACATGCAAACCAGGCCAATGGTTAGATCTACTACAACGTCAAGTCCCAGAAAGTGTGTGCAGAAAGGAGCTTTGAAATCCAAGTCAAAAGAAACTTCCAGGCCCCTAGTCATGTTCACTCTGAGAGCCAGGTGAAAGGAAACAAGGGCCTCTTGAGACTAAGCTTTTCTCGATCATTTTAAACATGTTTTCTGTTTTCTGCTGGCAAGGTACTACCCGCTGACGACAATTCCGAAGGCATCGAGCAAGGACTCAGCTGGTTTTGCCTCAGTTTCAAACAGTTACACTTGGCCATACGTGTTTCTGCACAAGATAGTCAACAAGTTTGGCCGCTCATTTGTAGCGGATCGCTTCAACTCCTGGTCTTGGGCATGTTCAACAACCTTCTCTGGTGTTGGAGCCCCGGAATCAGTCAGACCCTAAGATCACGTTTTGTCCCAGCCATTTTGCAAAATGTGATAGTTGTGGCACATAATTTCGAAAACCACAAGCCAGTTAGCAACTAATGAAAATTTGAGGCGCTGATGAGTTTGGAAGGTGTGGCCGAGAAAGTCTTGGGGACCACCGGCAAAAAGGTGCAATATCTTTCTACTTGTGAAATAGACCCCAACTGCCAAAAGGTGCTGAAAAGTACCTATGGAAACCGGTGCAATTGGCCTGATGTGACAAAGCTGGGTGATTCAGAAACAGCTTGGTGTTCGACCCATCAGAAGCGCTGCCCCACCGAAGCTGCGAAGATTGGGAAGCGGAGAGTGTCTGCAAAGAAGGAGCAGCGAAGCCCGGGACTCGGTTCACAATTGCTTTCTTGAAGTGATCCCCACCTTGAAACACTCTTCTGACATAGTTTCTGGCATACCATCTGGAAGTGTATATGGCAGATTTATTCTGACATTATGTCTGGCATTCTTTCTGGCATCTATTCCGATATTCTCTCTGACATTCTATCTGGATCCATTCTGACATACATACTTTCTGACATTCTTTCTGACATTCTATCTGGCATCTATTCTGACATACTTTCTGGCATATATCCTGACATTCTTTCTGACATTCTACCTGGCATCTATTCTGACATACTTTCTGTCATTCTTTCTGGCATTCTATCTGGTATATCTTCAGAAATTCTTCTTGGTCGAGGCCCGGCAGGGACCACTGCGATCAAGAGCTTGCAGTTGAGGTCTGGCGGCCGCCACTGCGATCTAGCGCTTGCGGTTGAGGTCCGGCGGGGATCACTTTGATCCAGAGGTTGCTGTTCGTGATCCTGGGCTTGTTCGGGTCCACCACTCTGATCTCGGGCTTGCTGTTCGGCTCCGGCAGGGACCACTGCGATATATCAAGCGCTTGCAGTTGAGGTCCGGCAGGGACCACCCTGATGGACCACTGCGATCTAGCGCTTGCAGTTGAGGCCCGGCGGGGATCACTTTGATCCAGAGGTTGCTGTTCGGGTTCGGCAGGGACCACTGCGATCAAGCGCTTGCAGCTCAGGTCCGGCAAAAAACCACTCTGATCCTGGGCTTGTTCGGGTCCGCCACTCTGATCCAAGGCTTGCTGTTGAACCACTCTGATGGACCACTGCGATCTAGCGCTTGCAGTTGAGGTCCGGCAGGGACCGCTCTGATCCTGGGCTTGTTATGGCTTGCAGGTCCGGTGGGGACCACTGCGATCGAGTGCTTGCAGTTGAGGTCCGGCGGAGGTGGGAGGAGTGGCGGCAGAGGCGGAGGCAGGACAGCTGACATAAGATCTAACAACCCTCACTCACTGTGGAAAATTGCACGTGGTTTCAGTTGCATGACAAGAGCATACCAAAGCATTTGTTTGGGTCAAACATTTTATTGCAACCTCTGTGGCATGTGAGGATTGAGGGTCAACGTGTCAGGCCTGCGGCTAAGTGAATTGCAACGAACAAGCTCCAAAGCAAGTCAGCAGTTGTCCAGAATTCTAGCTTGGCTGGAGGTCCAGTCTGCATCAGCTTCTCGCTGATGGGCAAAAAACTGGGGAAGAAAAGCCCGGCATTCAAATGCCACAAAAAATACTTTCAGCAGGCCAAGAAAACAGCGGATGTGTTAGTTGTGGAGAACGTTCCACAATACCAATCCAGTACTGTGGAGGAGGAACTTGGGGAAGATTGGAGGGTTCGCTACTGTGTCATAGATCCTCGAATTGTGGGACTCCCAGCTGCAAGGTCCAGAATCTACCTGATTTGCTACAACAAAAAGGTAGTCCGTTGGAGACCTGATATCACTCTGGAATCGGTTTTGGGCGCCTTGACTTCGAGGGTCATCACTGACGCTTCGATGTACTTGTGGATGGAGCTGCCGCCTGACACTTTGAGCACGTCGCAGGAGACACACAGACACACACACACACACACACTTTTGCTTCCTGCCGACAGTGCATGTTCAACTCATTATCATTTCTCACCCGAAAGCATTTTTCGTGCTAGGGTTGTGTCAATCTTTCAGAAGGGTAACACGGATCTTCCCGAAAACTACCGCCCTATCTCTTTGCTAACCACAATTTACAAAATATATATGATCATGATCAGGAATCGTTTGCAAGTCGTACTTGAAGACCATTTGTGCGAAACACAATATGGATTCAGACCTTCACGAAGTACATCGCACGCTATATTTTTGACGCGTAGACTTCAAGATATTTCGGAACAACAAGGTTCTAACATGATCCTACTCTTTCTAGATTGGGAGAAAGCTTTCGGTCGGATAAAGCATGACCGGTTGTGGATAGCTTTGCAATGGCTAGGAATCCATGAGCATTTCATAGATGTGTTGCAAGATGGCAACAGTAAAGCTTCGTTCTTTGTGGAAGACGAATATGGAGCATCACAAACTAAAAAACAATGAGCAGGCATAAGGCAAGGTTGTCCTCTTTCGCCGTATCTCTTTGTCCTTCTGATGTCTATAGTAGATGAAGATGTAAAATACCGTCTACAGAACCCACGTAACTACAGAACCCCCAGCAGTTCCCTGCCCATACATCGGGTATACTATGCAGATGCCACAATCCTCATTGCAACAAGTACCAGAGCTGCAAACAAGCAAGTAGCAGAGGTCGAAAGGGTTTCCCTACAGTCTGGTTTAAAATTGAACAGGGGTAAATGCAATTATATTTCAATGAGTGGTAATAATGTGATAAAGCTCCCTGACGGGCAAAAGATGGAAAGAGTTGAAGAAAACACGTATTTAGGGCATCAAATCACTCAACAAATGGACGTTAAACATGAAATCAATCACAAAATGTCGCAAACTTTGAGAACTTGGTTCAAACTTGAAACGTTCTGGAAAGCAGTAGACTGCACAACAAAATGGAAACTGCAAGTCTATGACGCAGTGATCCGAAACAAACTACTATATGGTCTAGAAACGGTACACTTGACGCAAAGTTTACAACGGAAAGTCAACGCCTTTCAGCTCCGAGGGCTGAGGAAGATATTAGGACTAACAACTATACTATGTAAACCGGCAAGACACCAATGAGTTTGTGGTAAGAAAGGCCAACAAAGAGCTTGGACATCAACCTGGGACCCAGCTGAAAAATAAACTGTTCTCTGACCTGTTAATAGATAGACGAATTAGACTAGCGGGGCATATTTTACGTAGCAATGACAATGACCCGCTTAGGCGGGTTAGTTATGAACCTAATTCCGCAGTAACGTTCGATGCAGGTAAAAGAAGAGTAGGTGGCCCCAGGCAGCAATGGACGCAATACTCCAATAAATACGCGTGGGAAACTGCTTTAGGGAAAGGAAGGTATGAAAACACCGCCCAACAAAACCAAGAACTATTAAACTGTGCACGCAGCCGCCAATTTTGAAAACCGATCGCTTCCGCATGCCCACGGTTTCACCCATATACCAATACCGGCATGAAACCATGGCTGAGGAAAAAAAACTCTTCCTTGTTGCCATAATATTCACATAACCTAACAACCATTGAAAATTCAGAGGAATGATGAAATCTTGTGGCTTGCGTTCTTTCAGGAGAGAAATCTCAAGGAGTACAACCAGAACCCCCGCTACAAGGGCAAAATGTTTCAGGATCTCAACCAATTGGCCAGAAACAACAGAGGCCGTACAGAGTTGGTCGATGGTGCGCTGCCAACGTTGACATGCAGTTCAGGGTCCATTTGGAGCAAGGACTGCGAAAAAATCAAAGCATGTCCCAATTTCCCAATCTCAGTCAACTCAGTAACCCAAATATGAAAGTTTGAATGTGTTTCAGTTGAATGTGAAGTGTCCCCGCCCTGGAGGAAAAATCTCGCTTTGTCGCGCCTTTGGAGATGCTCAGCTCCCAAGTCTTACCTGTCACCTCGGCGCATGCCAAAGCTTGCATGGCCCCGAAGCTGGAACTGTCTGCCATACCGCAGTGCCAAATCAGCAAGATGTCAGGCAACAGCATGAACGTCCCTTGTGTAGCTGCCGTTCTGTTAACAGCCATTTTGGCGTTGGACTATCGATGATGGTGTCACATGATCTTCCGTTGAAAACCAGACCGAAAGCTTCTGACACAGTTGCGGTGGATCATCGATCAGTCCATGATTTATTTGAAATAATTCAAACAGATGCTTCAAATTCATAATCGCTGGCCATGATGACTGGCCTTCTTCTCACACGCACGTTCCCGCATCAGCGGCCTTGACATCAGGCTGGAGGGTTGAGCAAAAGACACCATGCAGTTCACCTAGGGTTTGATTGGAAAATCCGAGCCGTTGATTGTATCAGAGAAAGTCCCAAAGAGTATGCATTGATCGTTGGCCTGATTTTTTTGATTCTCGTGACCGAGATTGAAACTGTCATCTTTAACAACTTAATGCAACATTTGCCTGTTCAAGGTTTTTTCTGAAAAGGATTTCTTTGCAGAGATGTCCAAACGGGCTTCATCTGCATCTCTGGCCAAAAATGGCAAAAACAAAGCAGCAAGGGTAGATCTTTCTAGGCCATGGTGTGACCTTCTGTTGACACAAGTCGAGTTCGAAACTCAGAACTCACACCTATGCATTTTAGCAAACAATGTGATACATGAGAACACAAAATGATCATAGTCATGCTAAGTCAACTTCAGGAAACTTCAGTGTTTTACCCTATGTTTGGAGGACCTTCAACGTTGATCAAGACGAACATCCAGTTCGGTACCTCTTGGAGACCTGGGAGCCTGGCATGCTCGATCCCTTGTGTTTGTGGCTGGACGAAATCCTTGATTCCGAAGCACCGTTCTGTCCTGACCTGAAATCTATGGTGCTGCCAGTTTCTTGATCATCATTGGTTGATGGAAACTTTCAACCTTCAAGGTCCCAACACAGATGGGGTTCCAAACCCCTCTTTTTAACCTTCGCTTTTTTTAAATACCAGCGTCAAAAAAACATTGGGAACTCGATTATTTTCAAACCTCCATTCGACGGAAATTTCATTAGTTTGCGGATACACCTGGAGCCCAAAGGGAAAACTATCAGATTGTTCGGCTTTCCTTGTCAACAGCTTTTTATGGGGGAATAGGTGGCCCCGAAATGCCTAAATATATTTGATGGTAAGTAACTGCAAGTAACCGGGCCCCAGCTCGCGGAGGCTTCGGCCACTGGCCAGCTATCTGTGCCGCTCCTGGCTTTGGCAGTCCAATTGCCTCCTGAAGGCTTGCCTGTCCTGACCGATTGGGTTCGGACTGGGGCAGACATTTGGTATGCTGGCTATGAAGGCTGGCGAGAGCCAATCGAGACTCGCATCGAGAAGCAGGACTTGTTCGGGTCCCCTATGCACCATGGGTGCTTGGTTCCAACCAAAGGAATCACCAGGGTATCTATCCTACAGTTTGCGGTGATCTACAGCTACAAGGAGCTCCAGGGCAAGATGGATGAAGCTGCCAAAGCAGACTTCATAAGGCAATGGTTTTCAAACTGAGGAGCTTGAGCTTGTGAGACTAAGCAGTATTTAAGTCCATCATTCACATCCACATTCAGATCAAAAGGGCCGCCTTAAATCAATCCAAAAAAAACAGCTCAAAAGGTGATGGTCACACTGGGTGGTGGCCATGGCCGTCTTTGAGCTGGCTAAAAGATTTGCTTCCAGTTCCAGAACGAAAACTCAAATATAAAGGGTCGTACTTCCACATGTCATAGCCCAAAACTGATGTTTCAAGATGAGTGGGCATAGTCAAAACCATCCAAACAACCCTGGCCAAAGGTGCTGGTCCCAGTGGGAGGTTCGCCTTATGTTGGCTTTGAAATTCGGACTTTAAAGGTGCCGCTTTTGATCCATTCCCATATATTCCTTTGCATCCCGAGGATTTTGGGCCCACATCCAATGACCCAAGAGAGTTCCAATAAACTGGCAGACCCCTGGGTAGTCTCAGCCAAATCGTATCCACCAACACTCCATATTCCACAAGCGAATTCGAGCTATTTCGCTAAAATTGCATGTGCTAATATCAAAACCGTCGCTGCTAAACCCTGGGGAAGGTGATGGTGAGGTCGGGACCATCGCCTTTTGTCAAACATCAAAACCGTCGCCTTCTGTCAAACATCAAAACCGTCGCCTTGGGGGAAGGGGGGGTCGTATAGCCCAGAGCCCAGAGCCCAGCCGCAGACTCCTGCAGGTTCTTGAAGACCGTGCAGAGCATTCCCTGCGCCATCCTCGACCTCGGTGGCAACACTGTGTCGGTCTACAACTTCACGCGAATACAGATAACGGAGCAGCATGTGGAGAGGCAGCGCAAAAATATCTTGCAGAAGTGCCTGATCTTCACACAGAGAGCGCACGAGCTGCTGCAGGACACACCCTTGAAACAGTTCAATCAAGTATTTTCACGAAACTAGTTCAATCAAGTATTTTAATTACAGAAGATCAATCAGAGCGTACGACCCACATCCAGGTGATGAATTATATATTGGATTCTTTTCGAAATTTTAAATGACATTGGTTGACCCTCTGAACTCTGAAAACCATTCTGGGACAAGCAACCCGCACTAAGCGATGATATTTTGATTTTAAGATTACATTGGCTGATGCCAATGCCTAGGATCTGTTTTGGAAAGAATCCCTGGAATCCTTTGATTGTCCAATCTTTGAGGATACTGGAAAGTTCCCTGAGTTTCGCGATGCTTGGATGGAGGTGATAGCAGAATACAACCAGTTTGGAATCACCCACTTCAGCGATCGCTTCCAGATCGATGATGCTGCAGCCGTAGCGCTGTATGGCTTCAAGGCTATCAGCTTTGGAGCGATTGGAAAGCTTATTGGGTTTCTAATGTTTTCAACCTTCTAAATATGCAAGATTTCTTCCCAGCCAGAACCAACCCGATTTGTCGTCAATGTCTTCACAATGCTCCCCCCCGGCCTGCTGCAGGTTGGTGTGTGCCAGGATGCTTGGGACATGATCTCGAAGCACCTGCATCGGTACCGTGTCGCAGAATCAGGCTGGGGCTAGCAATAACGACTAGGGAAAAACGATTAATTATCCAATGATTCAGGGTGTTGGGGTGGAGCAGGGTGGGGTGGGGTAGGCCAAAACCGTTTCCTTCCAGGCGTACTTGCTGCTACACGGAGTGGGTGTTTACTGTCATGTGCGCACGTACCTGATGCTACGCCATTGGGTGTTTATATGATCAAGTATGGTTGAATTGTATGTGCACACGTACTTGATGCTGCACTACTGGATGTTTACTTGCATGTGCACATGTACTTGAAGCTACCCTACTGCATGTTTATTTCCATGTGCACACGTACTTGAAGCTACGCCCCTGGGTGTTTACTTGCAAATGCACACGTACTTGATGCTACACTACTGGGTGTTTACTTGCATGCGCAAAAGTACCAAATGCTATGGTGCTGGATGTTTACTTGCATGTGCACGCCGTGCGACGCACACTTGTACCACGCTACTGGATGCTTACTTGCATGTGCCCGTACTTGATGCTACGCTACGCCATTGAATGTTAACATTCATGTGCACATGCGCTTGATGCTACGCCACTAAGTGTTTACTTGCGTGCGCACACGTACTTGACGCTACGCCACAGGATGTTTACATGCATGTGCACACGTACTTGATGCTACTCTACTGCGTGTTGACTTGCATGCTCACACGTCCCAGATGCTACGGCACATATACTTGATGCCACGCTACTGGATGTTTACTTTCTTGTGCACGTACTTGATGCTACACCGTTGAATGTTAACTTGCATGTGCACAACCACTTGATGCTACGCCACTGGGTGTTTTTTTGCGTGTGCGCAAGTACTTGCTGCTACCCTACTGCGTCTTTACTTTCACGCGCACACGTACCAGCTACGGTACTGGATGTTTTTTTTGCATGTGCACGCATACTTGATGCCACGTTCCTGGAGGTTTACTTGCATGTGCCCGTACTTGATGCTACGCCATTGGATGTTCACTTGCTGTGCACATGCACTTGATGCTATGCCACTGGATGTTTACTTGCATGTGCACGCATAGACGGTGCTACGCCACTAATGTTTACTTGCGTGAGCACAAGTATCTGATGCTACGCTACTGGATGCTTACTTGCATGCACACACATACGTACCAGATGCTATGCCACTGGATGCTTTCTTGCATGTACCGGCATACTTGATGCCACGCTACTGGGGGGTTCTTTCATGCTCGCGCATACTTGATGCCACGCTACTGGATGTTTACTTTCATTTGCAAGTACTTGATGCCATGCCATTGAATGTTCATTTGATGATGCTGCACTTGATGCTATGCCACTGGATGTTTACTTGCGCGTGCGCACGTACTTGACCCATAGCACAGGGAGTTTACTTGCATGCGCACACGTGCCAGATGCTACGGTACTAGATGTTTTCTTGCATGTGCAGGCATACTTGATGCCACGCTCCTTGATGTTTACTTGTATGTGCCCGTACTTGATGCTACGCCATTGGATGTTTACTTGCATGTGCAAGGGCACTTGGTGCTGCGCTACTGGATGTTTACTTGCATGTGCACACGTATCTGATGCTACGCTACTGGATGTTTACTTGCATGTGCACACGTACTTGATGCTGAGGGCTTTTGACCACTTTGTCCCAACTTCCAGTCTTAAAACGTAACCCACGCAGAACCGAAGCAGAAAAAGTGCCTAAAGAGCTGCAGTGGTCGCCCAAGATGAACTTCCTCGGTAACCCTTCCTCGGTAACCCTTCCTCGGTAACCCTTCCATGACTTTCAGCCCCTGAAAACAATAAACTTCAACTCAGAACTTTAAAAAATAGTTAGGTTTTGCGCACATTGCATTTTCTCGCTATTTCAGAAAGCTATTAAACACACGCCATCCTCAAGGCGCTGTCACCATGAGAACAGGAGGTCAAGTACGGCCTTGCAATGGTATTTTGCACTGGTCTGTTTCGTCCAACATAACATAGAATTTCTTCTGAAGAAGCTTCCGACATGGTTTTTAAAGATTTGTGGCATCATGGCTGTTTGGCCCCTGCTTGCTTGACCCTGTCAGCATTTGGCAAAGAGACCCTGAACAATGGGCGTTGGCTAGTGGGAGCTGGACCGAACTCTTCTGGGTGCAATGCGCTATGGCATTCGATCTTGACAGTCGATGCCGAAAAACAGGTGCCTGGCAACTCTTTTTTGAACAGTTGCAATCAGGCTAACCACCACTTATCGCTATCAAGTGGATGAGCATTTATTCTTCACGGCAAAAGATTTTAATGTTAGTTCCATTCTGCTGACATGTGGTTTGCTGATCCTCACTGGTAACTTGGTTGTTGCTCGGCTCCCTGAGGTCTTGTTCTTGCGAAGAATTCTGTTCCTCCACAACCGAGCTGTTTCACGGGGAGGTCGTGCTTCCACCATACGTTTGGCAGTAACAGAGTGGGTGAACGAAACGGATGCTTGGCCGTAGCTGGCTGAACATCTTTCATGGTTTTGATTTTGATGCTCTTGAAATCCCTAGTGTTTGAACACATATTTCCTCAAGAATTGTTCTTTTTAAAGACTTTGTGTTGGTTTATCCGGCATTTTTTTTGTTTAGCACACGGGACAGGTACCATTTCAACCCCACCCCAAAGGCAACTTAGCCCAGCCTTGAGTAGCTGGATGTCTTTGATTGTGTCCTGGACCAGGGCTATATGGAAAAATGTATTGAGTAGAAAAAAATCACCTCCATATCAAAGTGTGTATATACTAGGGCGAGCTGAAGTCCTAAGGAGCGCATGTGCCTCATGCAGTACATCATTCACGAGATGAAGCTAGCTCGTGACCATGATGGCAATGCAATCTTCGAACCTGATACGGTCGAAAAAGTCACCAAGAGATGTGTGGACGGGTGAATCTGGCATGTCTAGTTCGGGCTGGGATGGGCAGGGTTGTGAATAAATGTGACAAGTTTGAACTGTTGTTTCCTCCAAGTTTACCCCATAACCGGCTCAATACCGATTGAACTTAAAACAGCAATAACAAATCACCACATTTCAAACCCTGAGGGACTACACCGCAGAACTGACTGAAGTGTTGACCTTGAAAAATGGGAACTTTCAGCCGCACCAACTGCAGCTGTGGACTGAGAATGTGGAGAAAAAGTCAGCACCGGTTGAGAACAGCTTCGCAGCAGTTGACACCAAGATCGAGCAGCTGGATCGAGATGCTCGAGATTCTGCCTTCCGGCAGGATTGCTTGAAGCTTACCAGGGATTGTGCTCAGCTGTCTTTGCTGTACAAGCAGGAGACAAAACATGAGAGAGCTCTCCGAATCCAAAGGGTCACCCACCTCAAGGAACAGAATGTCCAAGGAGCCAACTTCATCAGACAGTTTATGTTGCTGAACATGCGGCATGTTGGAGGTCGCACGGGGGAATTGGAATCCGCCATGGACGAGGCCAGCCTTTTTTGAAAAAAGCTTTACTTCAAGTGATCCCCACCATGGCATTTCAAGGCATATATTCTGACATGTATTCGATCCGACATTTTACCTAGCATTCTATCTGACATCTTTTCTGACATTCTATCTGACATCTCTTCTGACATTCTATCTGGCACCTATTCTGGCATTCTATCTGGCATCTATTATCGCATTTTATCTGGCACCTATTTTGACATTCTATCTGGTATCTATTCTGGCATTCTATCTGGCATCTATTTTGGCATTCTATCTGGCATCTTTTCTGGCATCTATTTTGGTATTCTATCTGGCATCTATTTTGGCATTCTATCTGGCATCTATTTTGGCATCCAATCTGGCATCTATTATCGCATTTTATCTGGCACCTATTTTGGCATTCTGGCATCTATTCTGGCATTCTATCTGGCATCTATTTTGGCATTCTATCTGGTATCTATTTTGGCAGTCTATCTGGCATCTATTTTGGCATCTATTCTGGCATTCTATCTGGCATCTATTTTGGCATTCTATCTGGCATCTTTTCCTTCTGGCATTTTATCTGGCATCTTTTCTGGCATTTTATCTGGCATCTATTTTGGCATTCTATTTGGCATCTTTTCTGGTACTCTATCTGGCATCTACTCTGGCATTCTATCTGACATCTATTCTGACATTCTATCTGGCATTCTCTCTGGCATTCTATCTAACATCTATTCTGACATTCTATCTGGCATTCTCTCTGACATTCTCTTCTGGCATTCTCTCTTGAGGGGCCCACCGGGAACCACTCTGATCCGGGACTTGCTGTTCGGGTCCGGCGGGGACCACTCTGATCCAGGGCTTGCTGTTCAGGTCCGGCGGGGACCACTCTGATCTGGGGCTTGCTGTTCGGGTCCGGCGGGGACCACTCTGATCCTTGCTTGCTGTTCCACTGACATATAATCTAACAACCCTCACCTGACAGGTGGGGAACAAAGCTTTGTGACACTGCGTGATCAATATCATCATCATAATCATGTATGAACAACATTTCCCTTGTACCATCCTTGTTTTCCCTCCAGAGTTATGTTGGGTGATGATGTTTGACCTAGGGTGGTCATGGCTCCGGTTTCAATTTGTTGCGAGAAACTGGGGTACCAGCCCACCCATCAAACAGTGACATTGCCTGCTGCAGTTCACGCACTCCATCAACAAGCTGGAAAAAATTCAGACTGGTGGCTTGATCCTATGGTTGGACTACACGAAGTATGGCAGACTTTCCAACAATGACTTGAATGATACGTTGGAGATCGCCCGCAGCATGCTGGCAAAGTTCCCAACCCGGTCCTGCATGCTGGTCATCTGCCCGCACCTCACCAGCGAAAAAGTCCAGAACGGCCTTAGAGGAGAACTGAGGTGAGGGAGGGCACATGTTGACAAGTTAAAGCTGCAGGTCATGCCTCAAAAGAATTGTGCACCTTGCTTGTTTTGAATTCTTCATGCGAAGACAAACTGACTGATCAAACCTGTGTTTGTGACCTTGGCTTCACCTCCTTCAATTTTCAAACATGTTAGGTGTTGAAATCGAACCTTTACAGGCGAATTGAAGACAAACTAGACGCCTTGCAGATCTACAGTGACATGGTGACATTGAGGATGGCTGAGCCGCCAGGTCAAAAACATGTACCACTTCAATTTCCAGGTTGGGTGTGCATGGATGAGGATACGAGGGATAGCAACGAATTCCGTGGATGCCAACTGCTGCTGGACAGGTGAGGGGGTCAAGCCAAACAGAACAATTCAACTTTGCATATGTATGTATATATATATATATCTCTCTCGCTCTATATGAATGTATATATATATATATGTATGTATGTATTTATACACCTCAGGGGTTTGATTTGTCCACTTGGTATGTTTCACATATTTTAGTTTCGTATTGTGACGCAATTCTTTCCGATGTAGCAGGATGGAGGTACACTGCCCGGATCAATGTTGAAATCAAACGTTGATGGACAGAAACCAACACCAAACAGTTGACTGACTTCGGACAGAAACAGCCAAAGAATATTCAGGTATACAGCACTCCGTTTATTTCAGCTTCATTTCAAAACACATCTTTTCAAGCACGGACAGGTGCACCAGGGTGAGCCTGTCGTGGCTCCCAGAGTCTTCTTACGTGGTTCCTGCGCCAGCCAAAGATGCGCCACCCAATTCAGCTGAGACGAGGCCAGGCCACAAGAAATCAAGTTAATTGAGCACAGCATGTGCACTACCTTCCAACTTTGAAGTATCAATGAAGCCACGGCTGTATATATGATAGCCTGTGACATCATCCATCGTGATACATAGCATGTAGATTTTCACGGTCCTATTTCTTCTTTACTTTCCAATGTAATGTTCTTGAGATTCCACTGGAGATGTTGTATGGCTGCAGGTCGCTTTCCCAAATGCAAGAGTCAGCCCAATTCCTTGCTGGAGGCCAGTTGCCAGAACAGGCGTTGGGTGCCCTACTGGCAAAAACCAAGGTGAAAGGGATTGTGGGTGTGGTGAATTTGTCGCCATACGACACCTGGCTCGAAACCTCTGCCATGAAGTGGGGTAGAAAAACCAATGGGGAGATCGTCATGCCCACGCTTTCCCTCTCCAAAAACTTGACTGTGATCTCCTACTGCGAACGTAGTGCTGCCCTTCAGCTGATGCAGGACAGGTCACTTTTGCATGTGCCTGTAAGCAGAGTTCCGGCTTCAATTCCAACATGAGCCCAGCCCAAATATATGAATAAAGCAGGGACTGAAAAAACATCCTTTTCACTTTTCACATGTTCCGTTGATGTCATTGTCGTGACCCCTAAGAGGGCTACGGCTATGCTTTCTCATATCATCAACTTGTTTCCAGGACTGGAAGAAAGGTTCTCACTGCATGGGAAGTTCAGCGCCAAAGTATGACCCGCAACCGCCAAAAGTGGATGACGTCGACGCCACACAGTTCCCACTCCAGGCAAAACATTTGGGTCATGTTAAAATCCATAAGTTAAATTCTTCTTAGATTTTTTGGTCACCCCGGATTTTCAGACACACATCCATATGGAAGTCTTGGACAAATCTTCAGCAGCAGGACCGCACCATGTTTCCCAATATCAGACCTATTTTACATTTTGCTGCAGCAGTGTCTGCCAAGCTACTAAATAGTACAAGAGAAGGACACATAAGGAAACACATTGGAGAGGTAGTCAGAAGAAAAGGCGTCCGCCCTATGTTTCACATTGACAATTAATAGTTCATGTGAAAAATGAAAGTTTGGTGGAGGGGAATTCAAGTCACAGAATTAAATCACACTGCTCTGATATATTCAGCTTGAAGATTCCCTATGCTTTGCCAGGTCATCAGACTGGAACCAAACCCCAATGAGAAGACGGGCTGGAAAAGGTGGAGAATTTCTTTGCCGCAAAGTTTTCGCCAACAATGGCTGGATGATGTTGTCTACTCGCAGGAATGGAGAGAACTCATTTCAGACTTCGACTCCAAGCTGCTAAGTTCAGACTTAGGCATCTCTGTGTTGAAAGAATTCAGCAACCCTTCTCACTGTCACATAGAAACTGTAGAAGCTCAGGCTCTTGGATTCCGAAAATGCTCCATATCTTATTACATCCATGCTCCCCAGGTTTGGTCTCGCGTCACCTGGAGCTGAAAGCACTGCAGGAAGTGAATCTTCCATCCAGTCTGTGATGCCATCCCGCAAGCCTTGGGAGGGAGAGCCAAAAACCATAGATGAGCTTACTGAGACTAGACAGCAACCTGCCAGCAGGAAAACCTTATGGATTTACGCACAAACGTATGAATGAATTGAAATGTTCGCTCTTACCCCAGGAACGCTACTTGGTAGAGACAAAGCTTGGTGGTCGGACCGTGGGCTCTACGCTGTACCTGGTGTCGGCCAGATCCAGGGATGGCAGCCAGCAACAAGTTGTGGAGGGCCAGTCCTACAAGCTTTTCCTTGCAGCTAGCTTTATCTAGTCTTCGCAGCATCTAATGTTTTACAAATCGAAATGGTTTTCAACATTTTGTGCCTCGTGTCAACTGATGTATCACCATGTATCATGCCAAAGATCAGGCCAGAGCAAAGACATGCAACTTCCTGCCACACAGGCAGCCCACATGCAAATCGAAGTTCCGATCTGTGAGTTTCAGCTGGGGCATGGAGCTTCCAAGTTCTTGAAACCTGAGAAGGTTGCAGCACTGCAAAGGGAGAACAAGCCAGGCTAGATTGATTTCGAATCACTGCGCGCAAGGGTTACCCAAGCATTAATTTTAATGAGTGTTCTCGAAAGATGCCATTCACCCATTGACCATGATTGCTCGGCTCAATCAAGGGACCTGTCGAAATTTTAGTCGAAGGCCCCTGCAGTACTATCTTCTTCAATCTCTGAAAGGCTGTGTGCCATGGTCGAGTTGGGTCAGCTTCTAGCTGACCATGGTTTTGGACAGGACAAGCTTGGGGTTTGTCCGAGATCAGTTGATGCCACGATCAAATAGGAACTGCTGTCTAGGATGGGGCCCAAGTAGGTGGTGAAACCAAAACACCGCATTTTTTTCTGTTCATTGACGCTGACTTGTTGGTCACCCGAAGGATTTTGACGAGTTCGCTGCAGCTGACCCTGGGATGTGCGAAACTCCACGGCAAAATGCCATGGGCTCAATTTCATTCAAGTTCCCTTTCTTGGAAAGAATTTCAAATGCCATAGGACCCTTGATTGTCAGAAACTCCTGAGTCTCAACATTGATCGCATGTTCACTGACGTGCCCTTGCCATTGTCAGGTTCGAAGAGCGAACGAAACCCCATCAGCTACACCTACACCAGATTCAAAGCCGGAAGATGAGTCAGCTGAGGAGCGACGAAAGTCCAAATCCAAAGATGGCAATGATGGTCCTGCAGCATCGGCAGGTTCAAGCATGCCAGCTCTACCCATGAGGTCCGAAATGAGAACTCCCACCAATGACCCCATGCTCGGAAAAGGCGACGTCGACAAGATCAACCAGGAACTACACATGGAAGCCAAGGAGACGGAAAAGAAGAGAGGGCGAAACCCTGTCAAGCCAGAGGACAAGGAACCACGTACTGAAGATGTCGCGAGGCCTGACAGCGCAAAAAAGAAAACAGAAGAGAACAAAGAATCGAAAGGAAGCAAGATTGGCATGCAACGAATTCTCGACATCAACAAGTTTGTGGGCAAAGACCTGGGCGAGAACAACACAAAGGCACCAAAGAGAAAAGCAAAGGCCAAGGCAAAGGCCAAGAGAAAGCCAGGGAAAAAAACGAAGGATGCAGATGATGGTTCCAACACTTTGGACAGTGAAGAGGAGCTGTCATCTCAGTTGCCAACTGAGTCTGAGGAAGAAGACCCTGTGAAGAAAACAGTGGGAGCTGGAAAGACGAAGAAGGCAACGAAAGTTGAGGACGAGTGCGACGAAGAGCAGGAGGAAGAAAGCGAGGACAATGGTTGCAAAGCAGCAGCGCCCAGAAAGAACAGCCGCAGCAGCAGCAAGTCTGGCCAGAAAGAGGGACAAGACAAGTCACTCAAGGCCCTGGCAATCAAGATGAAAGCCTTGAAAGAAGAGCAGGCAGAAAAGAATAAGAAAAGCAGCAGCCACAAGGAGGAGCCAAAGACTTCGAAGGCAAAGGCAAAAGGTGGAAAGAAAAAGAAGATTGAAAGTGAGGATGACGAGGAGGACGAGCCAAAGGTTCCGAAGGAAAAGGAGACAGGTGGAAAGAAGAAGAAGAAGAAGAGGATTGAGAGTGAGGATGAGGAGCCAAAGGTTTCGAAAGTAAAGGAGACAGGTGGAAAGAAGAAGAAGAAGAAGAAGATTGAGAGTGAGGATGACGAGGAGGAAGAGCCAAAGGTTCCGAATGCAAAGGAGACAGGTGGAAAGAAGAAGAAGGTTGAGAGTGAGGCAAAGGAGACAGGAGGAAGAAAAAAGAAGAAGTTTGAGAGTGAGGATGAGGAGCCAAAGGTTTCGAAGGCAAAGGAGACAGGTGGAAAGAAGAAGAAGAAGAAGATTGAGAGTGAGGATGACGAGGAGGACGAGCCAAAGGTTCCGAAGGAAAAGGAGACAGGTGGAAAGAAGAAGAAGAAGAAGAAGAAGATTGAGAGTGAGGATGAGGAGCCAAAGGTTCCGAAGGAAAAGGAGACAGGTGGAAAGAAGAAGAAGAAGAAGAAGAAGATTGAGAGTGAGGATGAGGAGCCAAAGGTTTCGAAAGTAAAGGAGACAGGTGGAAAGAAGAAGAAGAAGATTGAGAGTGAGGACGACGAGGAGGACGGGCCAAAGGCTCCGAATGCAAAGGAGGCAGGTGGAAAGAAGAAAAATAAGAAGATTGAGAGCGAGGATGACGAGGAGGACGAGCCAAAGGTTCCGAAGGAAAAGGAGACAGGTGGAAAGAAGAAGAAGAAGAAGAAGATTGAGAGTGAGGATGAAGAGGAGCCAGCCTTGAAGAAACACAAGGCCAGCAAAAGCAACACGCATCCAAAGAATGCAGAGAACGACAGGTCCCTCAAGTCACTGGCAAACAAGCTGAAGGGCCTCACAGGTTCTGGGAAAGCTGATGTGAAAGATGCGCAGGTGAAGAAGACGCAGAAAGGCAAAAACCATGAGGAGGACGAGCCAAAGGTTTGCAAGCCAACGGAGACAGGTCGAAAGAGTGAGCATGAAGAGGAGCCACGAGTTTCGAAGGCAAAGGCGACAGGTGGAAAGGAGACGGAGAGTGAGGAGGATGATGAGAAGGAGGCGGCAAGTTCGAAACCGGAGGATGAGCCAAAGGCTTCGAGCGCAAAGGCGGCCGATGAAAACAATAAGAAGCAGCTTGAGATTGAGGATCTTGAAGAGGATGAGGAGGATGAAGAGGAATCAGCCGAGAGCGAGGATGAAGAGGAGCCAAAGGTGTCGAAGGCAAAGGCGACAGGCGGAAAGAAGAAGAAGATCGAGAGTGAGGATGACGAGGAGGACAAGCCGAAGCTTTCGAAGGCGAAGGCAGCAAGCGGAAAGGAGAAGAAGGTTGAGAGCGAGGAGGATGAGGAACATGCAGAGAGTGTGAAGCCAAAGGCGAGAGTTGGAAAGAAGAGGCAGATTGAGAGTGAGGAGGGCGGGGATACGGAGGAGGATTCCACAGAGTTAGAGCCAGGAAAGAAAGCAAAGAAACCAAAGACAGGAAAGGAACATGGAGATGAAGAGGATGAAGAGGATGAGAGTGGACAAGAGCTTAAGTGCGAGGCCATTTCGTTTGGGCCACCCAACAACATCTAGCCGGAGAATGGGACTGCATGTTCTCAAAATTTTCTTTGGGTTTCTCATGAAAGCTGAACGTACCTCAACTCTTTGTGCAAAAAATGGTTCAGCTAGACAACCATTTGCTCAATCAGACTTACTTCGTGTGAAACAATGCTCAAATATCAAATCAGCATTGGGGACACCTTACACATATTTTGGACAATTCAGTCGCCTAGCCAGCTAGTTGCTCTGTAGCGTTATATTTGCAGCCCCCCAACATCATATGTTTACTACAAGCACATCAGGGAGGCATCAGCTGATTTGAGAAAGGACAACCCAACGTGGACTCGAGCAGAGGTTCTGGCCAAAGCCAGGGAAATGCCGGGGACCTACACCCCTACAGCCTATCAATTTCATTGGGTGCTGCATGTTCAAAACGTATCAAGAAATTAGGCATACCACCGCATGGTTTTCCCAATATTTCCCGGCCATGCCCGTGTCCTTGCAATCTGCATGAGGTGGCGCTTGCATCCGCTCAGGGTGAACAGCATCAAGAACATGTCACCTGGGGAGCTCAGCAAGCGCAGGTTGCGCAAGTCCCGTGCGTCCAAGGCTAAGAAGGAGGAGTGAATAGTTCTGCAGCCACTTTTGCGTCAGTGGAAGCTTCGGGGCCTAGAATTTTGAGGCAAGTTGTGAAAACAATCATCGTAACTCAAAGTTGGATGGTGGACCAGCTGTTTCTAAAATGACATGAGATTGGAGGCAACTATATATCCCATCAACAAAGCAATGCGAACCGCATTGCGGATACTTGAGCCGGGGGGGGTCTTATTTCGGAAGCATCCTTTCGATTTCAAATACAATTTTTCCAAGTCGTCCAGTCATGCGACGCAGTACTACGCGTGCAGCGATCCTGTTCAGGATTTCCATCGGCATTTTGTTTTACTCCACCTTGTTGTTGCTGTTGTTGTGTTTGAGCCTGAAGGTTGGATTTTCAGCATCATTCCAATGATACTTGCCTGCTCGGAAGTGACCCAAGTTTTCGCTCGTTGGGAAGGACAGTTTTCTGGCATAGACACCAGGCTAGAATCTGTCGTTGTTGGGGTTGGTGGCTTCAGGTCAGTCTGTGACTGCAAAAGTCGCCCATGTCATTTAAGCCCAGTTGCCTAGCACACTTTATGCTCTAGCGCTTTGAGATCGAAAAATGTCACACCAAAAGCAGCATGGCAAATCACGAAGGCATTTCCATTAGGTGCACGTTACATCACATGCCTTGAAATCCTTATCGACGCTTTACTTGAAATTTGGCAGGTGACAAAGAAAGGATGATGACAGTTGAGTGGACTTCTGACTCGGATCTTGTGGTGCTGGAGGTGCCACAATCTGGCACCAAAACCACCACCGACTCTGACCGAACGTGTTGGCGAAATTTGTTCCACGAGCTGGAGACGGAAGCCGAAATCATCGATTGCACCGTGAACTCTCATGAGGTAAAACGGGTGAATCGCAACGATGGTGGGGATCTTAGCTCCACTTAGCCTCACAATAACGGTGTTTTGCCAGTGAGCCATGAACAATAGCCAGCCCTCAGTTCATAATTTCTTTCTGCTTTTTGAATGCTTTTCCAGGTGAGGATCACTTTGAGATCCTTCCCAAGCCACAGCCTTGCAGCTTTCAGTGGACTGTCCCGGCCAGCTTGAATACATGCAAGTGGTCATCAGTGGCTTCAGCTTTCCCTGCAGAGGCGTTTGAAATTCGACATAGTTGACAGTTGATAGTGGCGTTGCTTCTTGCATTCTGTCGGCATTTTTGGGTTTTCAAATGTTTGCAATGTTTCTACCATGTGCTGCACTTGCAGGCTTTGAAGAAATCTGGAATGCTTGCGCTGTCATGGAGGGTTGCGTACTCCAAGGAATCCAATGCTGCCTGGCTCATCAATTTCAACTTTACATGCTTCTTCAGCTCCCGGTAGCTCTGTTTCGTTCAAGTCAACTCGTGAGCTTCGCTTGTTATTGCTAAGGAGATCAGCCCGAGTATCCCGTCTGAATATTGACACCACTGAGGTGGACCACGCATTACACAAAGTTGTTTCCTTTGGACCAGCAGTTTGCCCCTTAATTCCGTCATTGCCATCTCGCATGAGGTGCATTTGTGATAATACTGAATCCGCTTACGTAACAACTCTACAACAAAAGAATGGCTAAGTTCACATCAGGGTCCATGCTGCTTAGGCTTCCTCATCAAGTATTTGAAGTTGATCTGAGGAAAACCGCTCTACTTTCTGAAGGGGACGACCAACCTCACGATGGCTCAGAATGAAGTGGTTCGTTTGCTGTAGCTCTGCTGTTGCACTTTTCATGCCTGAGGCATGTTTTGACCAAAGGGTCACATGGCAGTTTTGACTCGTTGCCGAGACCCAATGAAGAAGCTGTGAGTTTTACCATGCTTAGATTGCCCAACTGAGCGCCACGCGGGAAACCAGCTGCCATAGCTGCGGCTGGGGCAATCTGTGCAGTGGACCAAAAAAAAGTGCAACACCTGCCAAATTGAGATTCCCACCAGTCCTTGGCCATGACTGAGGTGGCTCAAAGGACTACAGCATGCATATCATTTACTGCACCTTGCCTGCACTGAAGGCATGAGAATGCTCCAACTTGATCCAATTTGAACATTGATTCATCATGGGGCCGGATTGCCGGGTTGCCGGGGTGCCGGGTTGCCGGGTTGCCGGGTTGCCGGGTTGTCGGGTTGCCGGGTTGCCCGGGTGCCGGGGTGCCGGGTTGCCGGGTTGCCGGGTTGCCGGGTTGCCGGGGTGCCGGGGTGCCGGGGTGCCGGGGTGCCGGGTTGCCGGGTTGCCGGTTGCCGGGTTGCCGGGCTGCCAGGAAAAGGAAAACGGAAAACGGAAAGGAAGGAAAAGGAAGGAAAAGGAAAGGAAAAGGAAAAGGCAAAGGAAAAGGAAACGGAAAAGGAAAAGGAAAAGGCAAGGAAAAGGAAAAGAAAAGGAGAGGAAAAGGAAAAGAAAAGGAGAGGAAAAGGAAAAGGAGAGGAAAGGGAAAGGAAAGGGAAAGGAAAAGTAGGATAGGGCATAGGGAAATGGAAAGGAAAAAGAAAAGGACAGGAAAAGGAGTAGAAAAGTAATAGAAAAAGGAAAGTGAAATATAATGAACATAAACGGATATAAGGATAGAGGATGCTGCACAGAGGCTAAAAACCTAGGGCTGGCGCGCCTGGTTTTAGCCCACAAACGGCTTTGGCCTGTACACCAAAAACGTTACGCACGGGATTTAAGGATCTGGGAAAAAAACTTCAAGCGCCGGTATTCATCCAATAAGATGTTTTTTTTGGAAGAGTTTTGCCAAACGTCAAGCTCAGGGGTTTCATCCAAAGTTGGATTTGTAAAAGCCTGATTTCCCATCAGTCCTTGGCACCGTTTCGTTTCGGATGTTTCGGTTCAGGGACAGATTAAAAATTAAAGGGAGCCTCGATGTTTTGCGATATCAGATGTGGCAATTCAGTTAGAACTGCAGTGAGACCAGAGACAGACTTGACAAATTCAATCAATTCAAAGAGCTGTGAGAACTGCGCGCCCGCGGAAGCTGTGCGAGCAACGTCTCCATTACAATGTCGAGAAAACGGACAGCAAGAAGCAACGGACAGTAGGTGTTTTTTATTTATAAAATCCATCAACTGGGAGGGAGCGACACGCTCTATGGTGCGGAAGTTTCAAAAGCACATCTCTCAGTTGATGGTGGCGGATTTCAAACAAAGCATTTCGGGTTCGTGGGTTCTATGGTTAAACAATTCTTTTGTCCGTTCCCCACTTTCTTTCCGTTCTCGCATTTGTGTAGTGACGGGTTCATAAAAAGGTGGCAGTGGATGATGAGGGGAGCGAAAGGCGAAATAAGCAGACCCTCACATTCACTGTCATCTTTGTAAATCTAGATTTTTTTAAGGCACCGCATCAACCGCCAACTTCAACCATCAACGACGTGGTTGAAGTTCCCAGCAACAACAAGCAATGACAACACTGACATCAAATTTACGAGACCAAAAAATATTAGACCTCCCTCACCTGACATAAAATTTAGGAGACCTTCAACCAACACCCCATAAACAATCTTGCAGCAGAGGCTGCCACAGGCTTGTTCAAGCAGCTTTGGCATATGCCCGAATGACAATTAAGCGGTGAAGTGCGTGCACGGGCTGAAAACATGAGACTGAGATTCATGAAAATTAAATGGTGACATTCTTGCACAGGCTGAAAACATGAGACGGAGATTCATGAAAATTAAATGTGACATTCTTGCACAGGATGAAAACCTGGGGCCTGAGTTTCATGAAAATGAAATAGTGAAGTTCTTGCACAGGATGAAAGCCTGGAGCCTGAGTTTTATGAGTGCCACTCTGGGATACCAGAAACGTTCCGCAAAGGTTTTCATTGGTTGCAGTTTGTACCTCATACACCATTTTTATCGAAGGATTTTAGCCCCAACTGGGGGCTAAAAACCAGGTTGCCTGTCTAGAATGCCACAGCAACGGGTACTATAAGGACAGGGGATAAGAAAAGGAAAGGAAAGGGTGCTGGACCTGAAAGCTAGATCATCCTAATTCGAATTTCAGTGTGTAATTTCACATGTCTTTTGCTTTGCTGGCCCTTTGTCTTGCTTGGCCCCAGTCTAGCAAGCTATGCTGTTTCCAGCTTCAGATTGAAACTGGCACCTGAGGACATGGGTGATGATCATGAACGGTGTCAAGAAGGTGGAATTGGGGTTGAGGGGCTGCGATTCAAGGGCAAAGCAGCATGGAATGAGCTATGCGTGCGGGATGGGTTTCATTGATTGTGATTGCACCTCGATCTTTGCAGGGGTGCTCAAAATCAGCAGCTGACCTCCACACGGAGTATGTTGAGCAAATGGTGGTATCATAGACCACTAGATTGGACCACAACAATATATTAAACGCAGCGCAGTGCACCAAAAAAACAAGCAGTCTTACAGATCTAGAAGTAGAGGGCTCTGACATTTTACAGCATTTAAAAAGAAAACATCATCCTGCAGGATTTCCAATTTTTACCGGGTTTTTGCCATGCCACGGAAACCTGCGGAAAAGAAAAACAAAAAAGGTGGCCGGAAAAAATACTTAGACCAAGAAGTCCCTGAAGATGAAGGTCGCAGAGATGCCCTTCAGAAAATTTACGACGCCGCCAGCCGCTGGGACAGTTGGATCAAAGATAATCTTGCTATTTCTATTTGGGTCGGTAAGCGTAAAAAAGTAATTCAAAATACCCACTGGTTTTTCACATATTTATCAAGATCTCCCAACACAAATTGCAAGTTTTGAGGCCCCATTTTGAGGATTACTCTCGCGGGTCCCTTTGTCAGATGGGCACTTGGTTATCACTGGGTATGCGTATAGCCCCCTTTTGTGTGGAATCTCAGGAAGAGAAAGAGATAAGTTGAAGAAACGTAAAGATGCGGGAGGTGCTGTTGCTGACGGACTTGGAAGTGGGGTGCCCCTTCCAATCCCTGATGGGGTCAAGGATGAGGTCAAGAAGCCATCGGTTTCCGAAGTTGGGGTTCAAGCTGATATCGATGCCAAATCTTGCCATCTTTGTTACAAAATGGAGGAGGGATATTTGAACGAAATTTACCAGCTGCGTGACTGGGTTGCAAGGCATTATTGTTCTTGTGGGTTGGATGCTGCAAAACATGTGTTGTACATCTCAAAAAGGGAGATGATGATGCACCCGGGATTTCGGAGTGATTTGGGTATTTGACCAACCCATATTTTCAGGCAATGAACTGTACGAGTACAAGAACACGGTGAGGAGGCAGCAAAATGATATCAGATATTTGGAGCAGTTCACTGGCAAGACTGCTACCGGATTAAAAATCCGAAAGTGAGCATGGCGAACAACTGGGGAAAAAATGCGTTAGCACGTGCAAATCAAATGCAACCATTTGGCCACCATGTTGTAGCGCCAGTATGTGCATGCTACCTCGACTTGATTTCCAATGCCAAGTTCAGCTTAGAAATGAGAGTTGATTGCATTCTGTCCTGAGCAAAAAAGGGCGTGGATCGGCCGCGCAAGGCAAACAACACAAGACATGTGGGACCCAAATGCAATCTTATGGGACCCATATGCAAGGAAACCTCCTTATATATATATATACATATTGTTTCAAACATACCCTGTGGTAATCAGATATGGCGTGCCGGAAAATCATCCATCCACGGTTTGACACCGGAGGAGATTCAACACGTTGATTGGGGCCTTCCCAATATTGAAAACAAACACATCAAAACGGTAAACATGCACCCCAAAGGTACAGGTTTGGACTTATGAAGATGAATATGCAAACACATATTAATGTATATTATATATATATATATCATTAATGTACATTGTACAATAACACATATATATATAATATAACATATACAAATGATTCCAACTAAGATTCCATTCCAAAAGAACTGGAACTGATTTTCGGTGTTCCCTGAGGCCAAGGCAAGGCTAAATGGCACATCCGACCTGAAGCGTCTCGTTTTTCTACCCCTTGCTGGCTCATCATCTCAGTTAGTTATGCTGGGAAAATGGTTATTATATGGGAGTTAATGGGACTTGATGGGACTTAAAGTTAGCCTTGGTAGGTCAACCGCTCTGAATTCAGCAGGGCAAGCAGGTTAGTCTAGTTCTAACTGGGGTGAAACTAACTAATTTCCGGTTCGTGGGATAAGGCACCAAGTACCAAACCCTGACATAAGACGAAATTCCAGACCTGAACATAAGCAACATGAAACATTTTCAGATGGCCTTTCTTATCAACAATTTATGGCATCATTTGTGAATAATCATTCATGCCGAACTTATTTGTTCTGTTGTTTTTCAATATACCCTCTGGTAATTAACAGTTCGACCCTGAAAATAACCAAACTTTAGTGAAAATTCATCTTCCAACCCCTACTGTATCTGCCAGGGTCTATGTTCATTTACTGGAGAGTAGATCATAATTAACCCTTGACCTTCTAGACTTATAAGTCAATCTGCTTGCGGCTTCCGACACTGAAAACAAGTTTGGACGAAAATATCACCGGCAGAGAAGCTTTGAAATGGTGAATCTCTGTAGATGAAAAAAAACTATTTTCATTTAAGCCTCATCAACAAATGTCAAGTTCGTGAAATACGCTTAGCTTGTTGGGCTTGTTGAGTAAAAAAAATATGATGTTCCTTTGTACAATTCCACATTCTGCCTTGTTGGTTCAATCTCCATTTCCTGGCTGCGGCTTCCAGATTTTTCTGCAATCACCGATCACAAATTGACCTCCTAAAAACAATTTTTTCCAGCTGACATCACCAGCAATGTCCTGCATGTTTCCTCCGAAAAAATCGCCACTTTGCTGATTTCAGCACCAAAAATCCAGGAGAAACATCCCCCATACCCCCGCACTCCGTATCACTCCGTGCTCTGCGTCATGCGGCATCTCCGCCGCCGCGACGAAGGCGGTCGAAGCGCAGACGTTCTGTGGCTGTAGGCAGACCTGGAGAGATCAATGCGACATGATGTTCTAATATGTTATAATCTCTCCAGAACATGGTAATGTTATAACATAATCCACATTAATGGTTAATGTTATAATCCACATTAATTAACCATTATAATGTTCTAATATGTTATGATTACCGTGTTATTCAGCATTGGTTAATGTGGATCATGGTAATTAATCTTGAGAGTTTAATTGGCATCATTTGTTCATCCCAATAATGATAGTTAATACTACGGTTCAAACATTGTTAATCCAGTTGGTTTATATACTAAACACCATGAATACCATGGCTAGAATCCATGGTCATTATCATGGTTGATTAATGATCATCACTGATAGTGAACATTAATGAAACAGGACAGCTCATCATCATTGATGGTTGATTCATGGTCATTAATGTTAATCAATGCCAAGAGTCATCAATATTAATCCCGAAAACACAGATTGTCCTTTGGGAAAAAAAGATGGACCGGTCTGGTATGTTATGATCATCTACCCAGCGGTTGTTCAATGGGAGGAACCTTCTATTAATCAGGCAACCAGTGCTGAAAGGTCCACTATATATGCGATAGTGAAATCCCATGATATCAATGATAGAACAGATAGTCTAATGGGTTTCTTTAATCGGATTCCAATGGGACTTAAGTTACATAAAATGGTGTTCCATCTGGGTATTTCTCAAGACAAGGGGGTACCCTAAACCCATAAGTTTCAATACTAGAATAATAGAAACCAGTTCGATATCCTGTACATGTTGGATGGTCTAGTAATGGGGTATCAGGGGAAAACCCGAATCTTGTCACGTCTCTTTACCCACCCGCCTTGTCCAGTGTGGGATGTCCCACCACACTGCCATGACCGACTGTAAGACTGACCTCAGGTTGCCCACACTGGGAGGATCTGAAAGGTCTTGCTGTTCCCATCCCATGCTCCCACGGTCGTCCAATCCCCTATACTAAAGTATTACTACAATGTGGCCCCCCCCCCAGTGATGTTAGTTGGTTTAGATTCGCCTAAGTAACTATAGTTATAAGTACCATAAACCATAATTATTGGAGCTATGTTCACCAACTTAGCTATCGTTTGGGGGCCTCACATTGTAAGTATGATGACTCTGGGGGTGAACATGGGCTGAACTGGGGGGATTTCTTGGGTCATTCTTTGGTATCCAAGTCATCCTGGTCTTGGCGCAAACCAGATCTGTTGGCGATGGAATCGAGCTGAATTTTGGAAAAGAAAGGCCGACTTTTAGCCTGTTGCTTCATGGGATATAGAGTTCATTGTGAGGATTGCTGTGTGAACTTAATAAAAAATGAAACTCCCTCACAATTAGAAAATGTGTTGATGAACTATGCATATCCTTCTGAAAAAAAAAACAAATGATATCTGGAGGATATCTGGAGGATCTGGTGAGCAGTGCCCAGCCCCCTGTCATCTCCTACTGGTTGAGGGTCTTCTTGGTCGCAGCCTGCAGAGTCCGTAATCTCCCCAACCCCTTCAGTGGAAAAAAAAATGATAGCCAGCAACCCATCATTCAAACATCAATTCCATGTCAAAATAAAAGTGGTGAATCTCAATGTTTTTGGGTGAAATCACGAACACGATCTCAACTTTCAACATTGCCCTCTGCGCGAAGCGGTCTGACCGATTCACTTGCTCCTTGGGCAGTGAACCATCTAAGCATAGTGTCATAGTCATTTGACTATAGACGTCTCACCTAAAGCTAGGTATGCATGTACCTTCAACATCCTTCAACCTATATATGAAACATTATGTAAATATGAATTATATGTTGTATGTATGCAGTTGCATGCAAAAAGGCATGGATCATGCTGTTGAGTGACTATATGAAATAGTCATCAAACATAGATACGGATATCGATATCGATACTTGGATTTCAATGATTGGACTGGAGTTTTCCTTTTTGTCATAGGGATACCCCCGGTCATCCAGTCGTCATGAATCACAACTTAGTAAAACCAATGGATGCTGGGGATCTGGTGGTTGACCTACCCCTCTGAAACATATGGAAGTCATTTTGGGATTATTAGTCCCAATATATGGAAAAATAAAACATGTTCCAAACCACCAATGAGATTGGGATGAGAGGGACACCGTTGAAGGCACCGCGTTGCGGCTGACGATTGAAACTGTCGACCAGTCGACCAGTCGTGTCAGTGTCAAATCGTCTTCAACGAGCTGCCACCAGCGACGGGAAAACATCGGTGGAGATCACCCTCTACAAAGGAAAGGGATCCTTTATAATCTTTATGCCCCACCTATAATTATATGGCAGTGTGTCAAAACCCTATCCCCCAGGTGAACATCAAAATAGCTGGTAAATGGATGTTCATCCCATTAAAAATGACATTAATAGGTATTGACCCATACCCATATTGATTCATGGCCACATCCACATCTGCTTTGTTGTTTAATGTATTTATTCCATTTTATTCCTATGGATCCATGGCCACTGTCTGAGGAGGTACGGCTGACCCCCTAGTCATCATACCCCAGTCGTACTTCCTAAGAAGGCACGGCTGGATCCATAGGGATATGTATTTTTCCCTCTGGTAAATTAACATAGACCCTGGAAGACCCTGGCAGATAGGGTTTGGAAGATTAGTTTCCATTAAAACTAGGCTATTTTCAGGGTCTATGTTAACATTTACCATCAATATACCCCAGTCATGTTAGCATATATACCATACATGGATCCTATGGGTACGGATATGTATTTTAATGTTCATATCTTCTCTTCTGTTGTGGGCCGGCATGGGCCGGCTACCCACCGGCGGGTGTCGTGATTCCACCATTCCGCAGACCATGTCTGCCCCATGCTTATGGAAAAAAGTCCCGCTTGGGGCTGCAACAACGCCAAGTTCTAGAGTCAAAACACAGTTTTTGTGGATGTATATAGATGGTTTACTATGGTTTACTATGGTTTACTATGGTTTACTATGGTTTACTATGGTTTACTATGGTTTATGTCATCCATCCATCTTCATGGGAATCCTATGGAATCCTTTTTTGACGTCATGTATTAAATTGATACATAGATCCCATTAGATCCCTATGAACAATTATAAATATATAGGGATTATAATTTATAATTAGATCCATTATAATATATTAGTCATTTATAATCAATACAATTTCGATTGGATTGGTGACCATCCCCCAATATAGGATAATATAAGTATAAAATCCAACTTTCGACCTAGGGAACAAAAAAGGTCCTGATCATGTTCAACATTCAACAACGAACTTAGGAGTTCGAAATTCTGACTGCCCAGAAGATTTTCCGAGAGGAAGAACTCCTCACGGTCACCATGACAAACAAGTGAAAACCTGCAAAAGGCAAGCCTATAAGATTAAATAAACCCCAAGTCATTAGTTGTTTTTTTTTATCACCCTGGTTTCCTATCTCAAAGGTTTGCCTGGAAGGGATTAAAGTTGAAATCAGTGACACAATTAAATTCTCAGGGGTCTATGATGGTCGTCAGCTGGAGGCCATATTTAAACCTCAAGGTTAGTAGGGAGAGCCGAAGCGCCTTCGATCATATCTCATCATATCTCCGGATGGTTCTGCGGAGTTGCCTTTCAGCAATTTACTATCCCAAGCGGTTCAACCGATCATGATCTGCAGCTTCTATGTGAAACGTGGTGTCGAGACACCTCCTTGTGCTGCCAGAGCCAAAATCCGTTTGCACAGAGGTAAGCCCACTCAGAAAAAAAACTCCAATGGGATCCAATGGGACGTTAATAACCATCAATTCCATGTAAAATTGAAGTTTAGACCTGCAATCCGGCAGCACATACTGAGAAACTTGGGATTTGCCATCGCACCTCCAGTTTTGTCGGGCCCAACAGCCTCAAAAAAGGAAGAAACAGGTACCAACTGGTTGGTCATTGAGTTAGTAGCCAGGTTACCATCGTACAAGGAGTAGAAATAGTCTACCTTCCAACCTGCTTTGTCTAGAGGTGCAATCAAATGTTCAGCTGTGGAATCCAGGTGATATCTTGCCACAGTCCCTGCCATCAGAATATAGCGATTGTCTGTGAATCTGATGTGGCAAGGTTCTCACTGACATGGCGGGGCTTTGTAACATCCAGTCGTAATCACAGTCTGCCAACGCAGAGCCAGGCACCCCACCTGAAACGCCACAGTCAGCAAATTGAACCTGTATGGGTTGAAAGCCAGATACCCTGAAAAATATGAAAAAAAAATGCGAGCCTTGCTGTGGTTCTGATCAAGTGGGGGGATAGCGGTAAAATAGCAGCTTCAAAGGGAAACATTATATGATTAAGACATTTCCACATGGAATTGTTTCTCCCTTCTTTATGGGCGTGTCTGAAAATAGGGTCCCCCGAAATATTTCTCCCATTATTTCATTACATTTCTGGGATGTACCATGACTGGTTGGTGGTTTTAACCATCTTGAAAAATATTAGTCAATGAAAAAATGTTTGAAACCACCAACCAGATGATATACCATGATATACACCCATTTTCAGACACGGCCTTATGGGAATTGCCCCATGCCCACCAAATGGTGCTTGCCTGCACGTTGCTACTTCTGATAGGTGCGATCGATGATGTCCTGTGGGAGCACCCCACCAGGCGGAAGCAACTGCACCTGCGCCAGCCGTGGCCCGATCCATTTAGTTCAATGATTTACCTATTTTAAGTGGTGTTTTTTTTCGTGATGAAAGTAGATATACTTACCAGAAACCAGAATTCCCAAAATGTAGAGTATGAATCCAATTGTGGTATCATATATTTGGAAAATTATCGCGCCATGGTTTCATGTCCACTTTCCTGGATTTAATCCATGGATCAATATATACATGTAAGATTTGCCAAGTATGTTCAACAGCTTCAGAATGGAATAAGGATCCGGATGCTTCCTGATACGGCGAGCCACCTAAATTTGATCACAGTTACACTCCATCTGAAGGTACATTTGGATCCATAGGGACAAATGTATAACTACGATAAACCATAGGTTTATCAACCATACTTACTCATTGTTACAGTAGTAGACTATCTACCTCTCGAAAAGGGGATATAGTATATCTATCCGACTACCAGAAGGATATCCCATACATTTATGATGAGCGAGACGACCCTCCAAGTAACCAACCATATTACATGTATGTAGTCATACTGTGGATGGAAGAAATCCTGCACCACCTGGGATGGTAGAAAACCTATAAATAATGGGATAAACCACCTATTACCTGGTGCAGGATTTCTTCCATCCACAGTATCACGAACTATTCTTCTTCTTCTTCTTCAACACAAGGAGTGCCCCAGCTGTAACCCCTGAAATTTCTCTTTTCCTCCCAAACCACCCTTTCATAGTCAGGTTACTGTAATGGCTACCTCCCCTCTTCAAACAAACATGCAATCTGCACCAGGTCCAGCAACGGCAATCAGCAAATCGAACCAGCCTCATCCTTCAAGCATCCACCCAAGTCCTGAACGGCTATGGGGTGTCAGGGAACATGTACGTTTTACAGTTGATCTGCGTTAAAAAAACATTTTTCACCAGACTGAGGTAAGGCCATAAAGAAAAGGATCATTCCCCGAATCCTGTCCCCATGATTCCAGGGCTCGGTCACAGTGAGGTCACTACTATAATTTACCCCGAGTTGATATGTGTACCTTTCATAAATCAGATTTCCTGAAGAACAATCTGAAATTCCCGTGCTGGTGGGCTGATAGTCCGGCATTAATATCACAGATTACTGCTGTTGGGCATTGATATCCATACAAAGTGGGGAACCATAGTAAGCTAACTTGGTTGAACTAACCAGGTGAATTCTATGGCATAAATGGTAGATTTCTATGTAGGAAATGGTAGGGTAACTCAACATGTTGGGCCACCTTGTTATCCCTTCCCCTGCTGGATAGACATTACATGGCTTGGACACGGGATGCCAATTATACAATTTGAACCAATCAATTTGGTCCACTGGAGTTCTGCCATTTCCACACAGGAAGATATATTTATTATTATTATTATTATTATTTGGTAGGGTTTATGGTAGATTAATGTCTATAGTTTAATGATTGAACACCAACAAACATACCATCCTTACGACAAACAGTCTGCCCTTGAGAATTAAATCTTAGTGCTCGGCGTCTTCCAGCCCGCAACTCGTGGCAGGAATGGTAACTGCATAGTTCGCGAAGTTTGGTCCAGATTGCTTTACAACTATAGTTACTATGGTCAAATATATCTATACTTACTAGGGTCATCTATAGTTACTAGGGTTATAAACTTTATGGCAAATATATCTATAATTACTAGGGTTTATCTGGTTGGTGGTTGACCTACCCCTCTGAAAAATATGAAAGTCAGTTGGGATGATTATTCCCAGTATATGGAAAAATGAAAAATGTCCGAAACCACCAACCAGATATCTATAGCTACTAGTGTCTATAGTTGGCTTATACACCCCACTTACTGGGGTAACCACTAGCGCCATAGTGGTAATTGGGGCTAAGACCCCAGCACTTCCCCAATCAACTAGAGAGATACCTACCATGCACAATAGATGACTATTAGATCTATACGAATCTATACGTATATTTTTATGTATATAACATATACTGTTGATTAACTAAACATAAATCTACTGTAGATAATCTATGACAATCTGCCATAAACACTACTCATACTAGCTAGTTCGTATAAATCAACCACTGTAGCTAAGACTGATTCTACCATAAACAACCATAGTTATGACCAACTATGAGTTATAATCAATTATAATGACCAATTAAACCATAGTTACCATAATTATTTATCATGAATCATAACCACTGTTAGGTATAACCTGGTGCAAATAGTTACCATAATGGCACTATGATTATAACCACCAAAGTTATATATAAACACTATTACTTACCATAGTTAATCATGGGTAGCCATTAATAATGGATTAATTATTAGTCCCTATGGATCCAAACACTGTCTGAGAAGGTACGGCTAACCCCCTGGTCATCATACCTCAGTCACACTTCCTAAGAAGGTACAGCTGGATCCAAAGAAAATTTTATAACAGTTATAATCACGATTGATCAATACTTAACAGTTACAAATCATTATTAATAAAAACTACAGCATGTCAATGGTCAATCAATGGTCATTGATCACTGTTAAGTGATCACTATTGATCAATGGCTACTAATGGGTTGACTATTAATATTATAATCACCAAAGTAGTTAATAATCACTATTGATGACTATTAATATTAAAACCACCAAAGTTATAAAACTGGTGGTATTCCATGCAAAAGGTATTAACCTAATGGTTTAATCAGTTGGTTTAATTAATCTATAATTAACTATGGTCATTGACAATGATTATAGATTAATTAAACCAACTAATTGGTTAGTGTCATAAGTAATTAACTACAGTCAATGACACGTAATAATTACAACTCTAATTAAGCTATAATTAACTTATCTGGTTGGTGGTATACCTGCCCCTCTGAAAAAATATGAGTTCGTCAGTTGGGATGGTGAAATTCCCTGTGGATCCATGGCCACTGTCTGAGAAGGTACGGCTAATTAATCTATAATTACCTAATTCTTATTAGTATAACATGTTATAACCAATATATTGAAAAATAAATATGGGAAAAACATGTTCCAAACCACCAACCAGTGGTTTAACCAGTCGAATTATTCACATCTAACCATCTGATGGTCAACTACCATTGGGTTGCTAATTAAACCAAATGGTCCAAACCACCAACCAGCTAATTATTATTATAGTTATTATGATTTATTAGCCATTTGCTATTATTATTCATCTATAATTATAACCACCAAATCCACCTGCTGCACCCCCACCCACCACCTTTGGGATAGCCGTGGCTGGCACATGCCGCAACAAGACGTCCCTGGTCTCGTGAGCCTTGGGGACCTAGGTACAGGGTGCCCTAAAAGTCGAACGTTGGAGGTTTTTGGAAGCAAACAATGGTGATCTAATGGGATTTCATGGTGATTTAATGGGATCTAATGGTAATTTTTCACGGGATTGCATATTTACTAACTTACTAAAACCTGAAAAACGCGTGTAACATGTTGGTTTCGATGGAAATTAAGGGGATTTCGTGATTTCGTGGGATACAATGGGATCTAATGGGATCTAATGGTAGCTCAGTTGGTGAACATAACTCCAATTGAACTGTTCAGTTTATCTGGTTGGTGGTTTTAACCATCTTGAACAAATTAGTCAATGGGAAGGATTATCCCATGTATTATGGAAAATAAAACATGTTTGAAACCACCAACCAGTAACTGTTCAGTTTATGGCGGTTATATCTATACTTGGGGGTACCACCCTGTATGGCGTTTTCCACAACAAACTGATAAATGGCTAGATGGTTATATCGTAACCAGGAAAAAAGAAACATACATATATGGGCTACAGCCCCACTTACTGGCCATTGATAGATGATAATCCCTTCCCCCGTTCATATTAAACACCCAAACAACACGCAGAAACCATGCTGGATGAAGGGTTCAAAAGCTCATATTTGGGACCATACAACGGTGGTGTTTTTTTTAAATTAGGGGGATGGGATTGGGACATATAAGACTGGTTGGTGGTTTCAACCCCTCTGAAAAAATATGAATGAAAGTCAACGGGAAGGATTATCCCATATATGATGGAAATTTGTTCAAGCCATGTTTGAAACCACCAACCAGATGATATACCATGACATACACCCATTTTCAGACACGGCCTTATGGGAATTGCCCCATGCCCACCACATGGAACTCTGTTCAGATGAATTAAAAGCCGGGATTTCCCTCAAGCTTCAGCTTTTCATCTGCAAAACACATCAGCGATTTTCCCCCTTGGAAAACGATATGCCAATCTGCCGAGGCCAAAACATAGGTTGTTGTAACATGGTAAATAGCTACACATCATGGGCAAAGATAGGAAGATTTAGAACGTTGGACGTTGGACGTTGGGGTCAGTTTGGCATACCATGTACGTCATAATTCATCTATCCTCTTACCCTCTGGTATATTAATAAAGACATAAATTGTTGGTGGAAACTAATCTTTCAACCCCGACAACTGCCAGGGTCTATATTGATTTACTGGAGGGTATTGGTGGTAAGAATGGGGGTGACTCCTCTATTACTCAACCATAGTGGGGACAGGACATCTGTGACAGCAACAACTATGTCAAACAAGGCAAATACAACAAACCCCAAAATCATGGGTATATTATGTATCTTTCAATCACATATATCACATATAGCTATGGCAACTTCGAGTTGCCAATGGTGGATATCAACAACAATGAGCAGTGACCAACAATAGGGACATCGGCAATAACTGAATCAACCAATAAAAAACATAACATATTGCATTGCAATATCTTTCAGTCAACAACAAGCACAGGTATACACCCCTGATACAACTGATGCAGGGTCGGCCAGCTAACCAAGGAATTGGATATCTCCAACCAGCCAATTGAACTTGAACTCGAGAGGCTTTCTGATGTATTATTACATGTATACATCATGTATATACATTAATGTACGTATATGTGTATATGTAATGTATTGCAATGTATTGCAATGTATTGTGGTTGAAACAATCATAAACCACCCCATGTGTGATGGTTTGTACAGATACATGTTTATACCACCCATCTATGGTGATCTTGGGGATGGTTTATTATTGTTTTAACCACATGATTGTAATTAGACATCAATCAAACAATGGTGCCCCAACCATCCACGACTTTAGTTTACAGCAATCCCCGACACATATTTGATGCTTCCCATGCCATCCCAATTTTTGTTCGGTTCACCACATGTTTCATGGATCATCATGGATCCAATCCATCTTTGGTAGTCCACAAACAAATAATCTGTTGCTGGATTCTTCGCTAATTTTCCATTTATAGAAAAAAAAACTCCAGCATTTTCATGCATTTCCACTACCCATCCAGTTGCTTGGGTATGGATGATCTTGAATGATGTCTCCCACCGGTCAGCAAAAGGGTCGACCAGGCACCGAAATCTTTGCCACCGTGCCGGGGTCCATGAAGGGTTTAAACATCCTGGATCTTTCGTCCCAGAAATGGATGGATTGGTGACAAGACACCATCAGCCAATCTTCATCACTCTACAGGGGAGAGTTTTCCAGTGGGACATGGCCGTGGGATAGGATGGTTTTCTGTTCAAAATGGTGAGCCAGTAGATGATAACCGGAACTGGAACTGGATTTGAGGATGGCCAGGACCAGGTCAATCAGCGGCTTGTACTGAAAATGACTAGCAAATTTCAAATTCCATTCCCATCTCCGTAATAAATTAAAAACATATTAAACACCCTGTAAATGGTCCCAGTCGTATAAACATAATCCCTATACGTTTCACCAGTGCCGGTGTTTGAGGGCCGGGGGAATGGATTTTTGGTTGGGAAATCCAATTTGGGTACTTCCACCAGGTGGCTATAACTGTTCCCCCAGAAACCAAAAAACTCACCAAGTGAGCTAAACCAACTTAAGTATACTTAAGTGGTTTACTTATCGCAAATGACAAGGCCCCACCCTTACACATATTGGACAATGTCTGTGTAATCCTGTCTGTTTCTCCTGGCATCTCCAGCTATGGGGGGTACCCCAAATCATCCATTTTAGCAGGATTTTCCACGAAATAAACCATCCAGCGTGCGTTTTTGGGGTACCCTCTTTTTAGGAAACCCCCAAGTGTCTCGATAAGCCCGACCCCACGGATTCTGGACCAGCAGCTGGAAAACTGCGGGGAAAAACCAGGGTGCGCGGACCACTATTACTCTCCTTCGCTGTAGCAGTGTCGTCCCCAGTCCCAGTCGGCTAAGATTCATTTGGTGAGATAAAATTGACGTCATTTCTTGGCGACATTTAGTCTCACCAGCCAATGTCTAAGCTGTTTGGCGGATCAATCATTTTGAGCCGATGTACAAATCCAGGGCTTGGTAAGTGTCGTATTTTGGGGATTTTGAACATCACTTTCAAATATCTGTTGAAGATTATCATGGATTTGCTTAAGGAACCACCAAAAAATATAAAAACTATTCCCCAAAAAGATTCCCCAAGTAGTGGATTTGCCATATGGAAAAATAATAAATCATCTTCAGCAAATCCAAGTTATATCGCCAGCAAAGTACTGATCCAATTTATAGGGTGAAACCACTGGGATCCACAGAGCTACCCAGGACCCAGTCTGCAGCTGGAGGCAACCAAAATTCATGGGGGATACATTGAGATACCTTGAATTAAAGGGGCTTTATAAATGTCCTAATTTTTCACATCACCCATTTTTTTTTGGGATATACTCTTCAACACATATTTGAAAGTGATGTGAAACAAATCCCCAAAAATAGGACATTTACCAAGCCTTGAATTATGTCCTGCAATTGAATGTCCTAAACTCGAATTCTTAGATGGGCACACTAAATTGGACAAAGAAAACACACTTAGCAATACCCTGGAAAGGTGGCAAAAATGAAACAAACATGTCACTTAACCACTTCAAACTGTCCTTCGACAATTCAGCCATCCCCAGTGTCTGGCTATGCAAGAATAATTAGAACAATATATATATATACCACAATGATATTCCTATAGAACCAGATCTTACAAAAATCCTTTAGAAGCAAAATGATGTTGTGCAACAACACAGGGTATCAACAGACCCACAAGTCGGCTCATCCAATCAAAACATTGCCGACTTTAGATCCAAGAAAATTGTGTTCAGCTAGAGAGTGTACATTCCTCAGTACGGCCGAAAACAAAAGCAGCCTACCATGATATATATATATATATATTATATATATATGTATCCTTATATATATAGGTATATACGTTGTTTTCCCTATAGCAGAGTTCTTATGTATGTATAAATACACTTATATGTTGTAATCATATCTGTGAAATTATATGTATATACATAAAATAATTAGTTTTATGTACAAACACGGTAAATACCAAGGTTTAGAACAAAATACCCAGGAAAATCAGATCTTCTGAATCTGCAAAGACTCTTCAGGACCTCCGGATAGTTCTCCGATTCGATACGCCCCATGGCTTTGCTCAACGCCAAAAGCCTGCGATCTGCGAAACTCATATCCTGAGATCGAGCCCGGGGGCGACCCTCGAAACTTCATGGCTTTTAGATGGGATTTTATAGTGGTTTAACGGGAGGGAATGGGATTTGATTGGGATTTTATGGCAAGCTATGGTGGCTTGATATGGCTTGATGGGATTCAATGGGCTCAACGGTGATTCATAGGGCTTTAGATCACAAACATGGGGATATTTACTGGATTTTCCTTCTGCTAATCTAACATAGTTATGGAAAAAACAATTCATAGATGATTTGCCTATCCAAAATGGCAATTGTCCATACCTGTAACATCCTGTAACTATGTTAAATTACCAGAGGATAGTGGGTTACAGAAAAACATATTCCCAACAGCCCTTTATCGACTTCTCAATTGGTCGATTGCCATGGATCACTGGGAAACTGAGCCACTGGTGTCCTAAAAAATACTGGGTCCACACGAGCTAAACCAAAGCGATTAGATGTATTTTTTGTTTGGTTAAAGTTCCTGGTCATTAATGAAAATCTAAGTATATATTTAAGTACACTCAAACGTTTTCTCAAAGGTGGCTAGGAAGTTCCCGAACTAAATTGAGGTTCCCCCAGTGGGCCCCTGCCACATCAAACACATAAACACCGGAAATTGCGCCAGGGTTAGTTCGCTGGGACGGTCATTCACCGGTTATCAAACCAGGGGTGTTGTGGTCATTTTATCGCCTAAAAAGTGCACAGCAAAATAAACATCCAATCTATATCCCATAGGATCCATGGTGCTGCTATATATGGTAACATGGGTCCCATCAATATACCTTTATGTTAGCATTGATATACCAGCACCATGGATCCTATGGGTATTGTGTTGAATCTAAAAACATGTAGGTCCCTTGAGTCCATATACCATGGGTTGCCATGTCATCGTCCCACTCCTACTCTTCAAAAAAACCAAGCATCAATCTCCTCCAAATCGATCACCACGGTGAACTGCGGAGAAAAGAGACCGCGAGTCGCTGGAGATGGGTGGAAGGGGAGTCGCTGATAACAAAACCTCTAGTTCCAAACCCATGATTCAAGTAATGTTTTATGTTCCATTCCTTTTAGACATTATCTGAACAATTCAGGGTAACTCTGACTCAATTATACTATATATATATATATCTATCTGGGTAAATTATAATATTTCACTGACTTGAATAGTTCGGTCATTTGGAGATGATTCCTCTTACATATATATATATATACATATCCTATTTGATCCCATATATACACCCTAAATTGACGATGTAACGTGGACCAGGAAGATCACGACAATATCGAAACAGTTTTTCAGGGGCTGTACCGTCTGGTAATCCAACAGTTTGCTATTTAAAAACGTAATTTTAAGAGGCATATCACCTATTTTCATGGGCCATGGCTTCCATAGCTACTATGTTATGCTCCATTGCTGGAGGGTATTTCCCATAAATATCCGATATTTGTGTTGGCTAAATTCATATGAATCACCATAAAATCCCATTCAATCCCATTAAACCACCACCTATTCCATATTTAGGCATTTAGGGGGCATTGATGTTTTCATGATACCATGGCCTATGCCACGAAATCTATACGGATCCGAAGAAAAAAAACACGCCACTTGGGACCGGCTGAGCCGCTGAGCCGCCTGAAATCCACGGATCGTTCCATCCTTGCAGCTCTCTTGCCGGCTGCGTTCCAGGGATGCCAGGACGCATTCCTGGATCCACGTGATCCAAGATGAGTTCTTTGACCCTCAAAGTATCCATAAATCATCATAAATCTGGGATATATAATGGATATGGGTAAGATTGGGTAAGAACACTTAGAATTTGGGGCACATGATGGCACATGCATTCTCTCGATAATCTGAGTTCTTTCGGTAGAAGGTCATGGGTCACTTATGACACTGATGAGACTGCATTGTGAAACTTGCGACTCAGGTAAATAGGGGCTGCAGGCTGCAAGGTTCCATGTAATTACTCACAGGTCCAGAGTAAATCCCCACAACAATGGCAACGCTTCCAAAAACAACCAGTAATTAATTGCTAGTTGCTAGACACATCTGCTTGCCATGCAATCAGTAATCAGTGCCAATTAAAATTTGTGCCCATGGGTTGCGTGGTCTAGAAACAGATCCGTCAACCTACATGCAAGAGAGCTTACCCCACCGAAATCATACCTGAAAGGCACAAGTATCCCTGCCAGTATGGTCAACAAGAACAGCTTAATCAATTGACATCAGAAATGGGTTGGTCCAGAAATGGCGGATTTACCGCCAATTGCCATTTTCATAGGGGAAATGGCTGGGGTTCAGTTTTTGAAGCGACCTTACATACCAGTACCATCTTCCAATAATGCTCCCATGCAACTGATCTCTATGTATGAATTGAAAAGTCTGGAAAGTACATCATTTTCGATGCAACCTGTCTTCTGGAAACCCCACTTTAATCGCTTCAGACCCTATCTTAAATACCATGAACACATGGCTGACCACTGTATTTATATAATATATATATATATAATAATAAAATATAATAAATACCCTCCAGTGCTCCAGGAATCAAACATAGCATAAGGAAATCCATGGGAATCCCCTACGCATGAAGCTTTATATAATTGAAAATTCATCTATAAATATCTATAAATATTAAACATCTATAAATAAGCCATGTTTGACTGCCAAAAGCTACAAAGTGGAGCCCCCGTGTACGAGAATAGCTAAGTTGGTGAAGGTAACTCAAGTAAGTATATGGGTTATACTTATAAAACTATACTGTTCATGGGTTTTATAAAACAACATCACGTTTCGCCCTACATTGTAGTTATATAAACAAATTGAACAATCTCATGGCACAAGGAGCAGGACACAGCACCCTTCCCAAGCCCGCAAGCCCAACAGTGCAACAGAGCGTCTGCGCTATATATGACCTGGGCTGCTGAGTGTGACTGAACATGGGGGATTTACACCAATAAAATTGTCATGTTCATGGCAAAAAAACATGAACATCATGATGATCCACTGATTCTTTTGGGTTTTTACATCCAATCATTTTCAGACACAGCCAAATGCTTGAGTCAGGACCTAAGATCCAGTGGTTGCGGATGCCCATTCTTGAAACATCTAGCTGGCTGGGTGGCTGGGTTCCAAGATCAACAACTACCAGCAGGGGTTTCGGGCATCACTCAATTCTTCAAACACCATTCTCATCTGTATGGTGGTTGCCAAACCCTCCCAAACATTTGTTGAAGGTGTTGAACAAGTCCTGTATATTATTCCTCGAAACTCTATATCTTTGTCGCCAAAAAGTGAAGATTCAAAAACAAACGAACGCCTCGATTCCCCCACAAAGTGTTGGTCGAGTTATATTACACTACATTTTTTTGGGTACTGTTTCACCCAGACATAGAAAACTTATAGCCGAGAAACAATGGTTTAATATGTTCAATTGGGGATTTCCACATATTAGTATTGACATTTGGGGGCCATAGAAATGGAGTGTTTGACATTGGGGGAGGGGATTATTTCAACGTTCGTCTCAGAAAATGCTGGAATCTAAACGACAATGGCTGGCTGGGACATAGATAATGACCTAAGGAGACATCCATCCGTGGCCACCTAGAAAGCCAAAAAGGCATGCAATGGATTGAAATGCTACAAAGTGGGCCCCCCTATTGGTAGATCGCAAAGTTGGCGAACATAACTCCAATAAGCAACCATCTCAGTGACGTCGCGTTCTGACGTTTCATGTTGCCTTGCAACCCCCGAAACAGATGGAAACGTCGGAAACGGGGAAATTCTGGATGTACTAGTTCTTACATATCATATGATATCATCATATATCATCTGTAACCTCCTGGAAACACAGTTCTATCTTTTAGGTGATCAATAGTTAGACGCTGCAAACATGATCCCAGTGGCATGTCTCCTCAGAAAGTCCTCGCTACATTTCGCAAGACTCTGAACGTGCACCTTGCCGCACCTCACAACCAGGAGATCAGGGACATGGCACACCCTGAAAGGGGAATTATCTGGTGATATATAACATTTTGACCTGGTACCCATATGCTCCATGTATAGTATATTTACCTACATTTGGCTCATTTATGGCATAAATGTTGGTAAACAAATCCATACATGGAGTATATGGGGTATACTAGAAGAACTTCTGTTGTAGCCATTCTCAAATATGATAACACCTGTAGAAATGACTTCTTCCGGAGTGCTTGTATAGATGCAGAGCGCCCGAAATCATGAGGACCGACAGCGATATGACAGCGTGCAGGCGCTTTCTGGCTTAGAAGCTGCATGCAGACTATCCCAGATTCATTAATTCCTTGGTATTTGGGAGGGGGTTTCCAAAAATGGGCGTAGCCCCAAATCATCCCAGTCATAAACGACCATTTTCGTCTTGAAACCCATGGTGACTCGGGGATCGCCCATGGATGATATTGGTGTCTTTGAAAATAGGCCACCAGCCCCACCAATTTTAGCCGTGTCAATCGGGAAAACGCTCAGATCAGGGACCTGTAACTTAGTAACTTACCGAAGTCGCACATTGTCAGGCGCACATCAACAAAAAACCGTAGTCTGAAAATGTCTGAGGAACAAAACAGCTTTGATGGAACTTCAGGAGGTGAATCTCTTGCAATTTTCATCTATCGGTCGTGGCTGGGAAAGTCAATTCGTAGCTCCAACTGACTCACCATTGTTTGTTGGGAATATTGATGACGCCTATATTGCTCCAACTGCCCCTCCCTCCTAACCACCAAAAGTAATGATGCGGCAGGGGAAAAATGGACTTCCACACCAGCATCAGAATCGTTTCAGCATCTCAAAGAGATTTGGCTATGGGTCAAAACCCTCCCTATAGGCCATAGGTACCCAAGAAAAGCTGGTTAATCGATGGTAATCGCCCAAAAAAAGTATGGTCATGTCATAGGTATAACATGGTATAACTTGACCCATCCCCCGTTTTCTATGTTTTCTTAACCGCTTCGGCCGCTTCGGCCTCTCGACAATGACGGGATCGCCGTCCAAGTCCGTTCCAGTGAAGGCAAGGCATTTGAAGTATCGATCAAAGCGCTCGTGCAGCGCCTCTGCTGAGTCGCTGGGAGAATTTTGAGGTTCTAAAAATTGTTGATCCAAATTATAGCTGGGTCAATGAATCACAATGAATCTAAATTTAAGACTAAATTTGATCTATTAAAAATAAATCTATTATTTTATATATCTAAAATTTGCTGAGTCGCTAATCCAACCTCTCCAGCAATGGCCTTTGGGAAAGTCTGGTCGCTGAATGGATGGGATAACCCAGACGGCCTTGTCCCATAACGGCAACGCATTGGACACACCTCAGGGCCGTTGCAGCAGCTTTCTTAGACTTGGAAGCCGTAGGGAGAATCTATCACCCCCAGGGCTTGTTGCTGACATATGAATTGCTTGCATGATTTATATCCTACTATATCAGACTATATCCTCCAAAGTCCTACTCATGATCTATTTGTTGCTAAGTCTGAAGAGAATTCGTGCCTTTTCAATATGTGGGTTTGTCTGAAAATAGGGTATATTCCCAATTATAGCCATTTAAAAACGGGATAATGATCAGCAAAACCATTGGGTAAATGGGGTACACGACATTTTCAGACACACCCATGTTGCAGCTATGCCTTTATGGGGTCAGCCACCAGCCCCCAGTTTCTTCAAACCTTGGAACTCTCTGGACCCAAGCGGCCATGCTGCTGCCGCCACTGCAGCACTTTCTGCAGCATTTCCAGGGCTCGTTCCACATTCAGCTGCCGCGCTATCAGGAACCTGCCCAGCAGCTTGGGGGAAACTTGACCAATTTTTACCCAAGCTGGTTATGACTAACAGTTCGCCATGGTATAGATGGCCCATAGATGGTTTACCTAGCTATAAAATGGGTGGATCTTTCCATGGCTATGATACAAATAACCAGATGGTAAAAAAAATCTTAGATCTACGCTGCCACGCTGCGAACAAGAGAATCAATGAATCAACCAGAACTATCAAATGAACCAAGTTTTATTATCAAATGAAATCAGCAAAGAGCACCTTCCCGCTCTGTCTTTAGTTGTTAATACCCCATGTCTCTGTGCAGTAGATTTGATCCACCATCCAACGCAAGCATGAAAATACAAAAGATCGAGGTTCTATCCAAATTCACTCAAATCATAGGCTCCAACCTCTTGCCTTTCAAGGATTTCCCTTAGAATCCCATCCCTTTTTTCCGGACTCGCATGTTCACTGGAAAGCACGCGCCACACACTTCCTTTTGTCCTGCGTGAGGGCAGGAGTACTAGGAAGTGGAGTAGGCAAGGGTTCCAAGCAAGACCAAGCAACCCACGATCACAACAGTAGAGGCTGTCCATGCAGTCGCACAAAGAAGGGTCCAAGAGTCTGTCTGTACAACTTGACAGCTAGTCGAAATCCTCGTCAGCTAAGACGGTCCAAAATAGTCGATACAGTCCCTTCGGTAGTGCTCTAGACGCTAAATGAAAAAAATGGATGATCTCAGAATGATTTCCATCAAAAGCTTTCAAGTGTATAGCATTAAAGTGTATGGCTTTTGTATTCTTTTGTATAATGTGTGAAAAATTGATTATAACTGTGAAACTTCAAGCCAACTTCACGCATCTTTAAGGCACCTCTTCTGAGCCTTCGGCATCAGAAGGTTCCGAATCCTCACTCGCGGCTTCAACTGGATCTGTTGGGCACTTGTCAGTTTGATCACTGACCAAACCGACCAAGGCCATCAACAAAAGAAGAGATCCAGCGTAGACCACCGACGTGATGAAAATGACGAAGGTGTAGCCATGTTGGTCTGCCAGGATCCCACCAAGCAAGGCTGAACCAGACCAACCTACAATACCGATACTCAAAAATGCGTTCCACATGCCTCTCTCTGTTGAAGGGGTGAAGTCTGCCACCACTGAATCGAGCAAAGGCTTGATACAATTCCCCAGGCCACGGCGGAAGAGGAAAACTACCATGAGCATCGGGGCTGGCAATCCAAAGTGAAGCATGAAAGTCAGGGCAGTGCATAATATGAAAATCGAAAGCATGGCAGGTGCTCGGCCACAGTGTTTCGAGATCCATGCCCCTGCTTTGCTGAAAATTGCGATAACGACCCAAGAACATCCTTCAAGCAGGTTGACTTGAATGAGCGACAGGTGAACGTCGTTCTCGAAGAAAAGGATGAAGAAAGGCACTATGAGACCACCTGCAAAAAATGTCACAACGTACCAAGTCACGCACAGAATCGGAACCCGGCGACCTGTGCAGCTCTTGACTGACAAGTTCGACACATTGACCCTGTCATTTCCGTTCGTCAACTTTGGCCCGCATTCCATGGATTCTCTGGTGAGCGGATCAACAAAGGTGAAAATGATGGAGGCAATGGGAGCCACCGCAACCAGGCCACATACAAGTGCAAGCTTCACGTGACTTGCAGAACTTGACCCACTCGAAGCAAGGATTGCCACTGCTGCAAGAAATGGGCCGCTGGCTGCGCCTAGAAGGTAGCAAACCCACTGCGTGACGAAAATTCCTTCCCTCTTGCCTTCAGGGATACTGTCAGTCAAAATGGCTCTGGAAGCACTCTGACAAAGCTCGGTGAAAATCCCACAGCAACTGGCAAGGACCGTCGCCAAAGCAAACTGGTCTGTGTGCAACAAGAATCCTCCGATGATCACCGTGGCCAAACCAAAGAAAAGGGACGCCCTCAAAGGTAGTACCCGACGTGTGGGGTCACGATCAACCAACCAGCTGATGGGAGCCACAGAGAGCAGCTTCACCACCCCACAAACACCTTGGTTGAAACCAACCAGCGAATTGGGCCCGGTGCTGACTGATCTGACGGGGCCCTGAACGTCAAGGGCTATCTGGTAGAGGTAAAGCACAAGAACAGGTCCTGTGATGATCTGCTCAAGGATGCCCAGACAGAAAGATAGGGCAAACGCGCTGCGGATGTTTGTAGACTTCAACTCGCTCATGTCGGCGAGGTTGGCAAGATGATGTCGGGTTCGGGCCAAACAGCTTCCGAAAATTACTTCCAACACAGTAGAGAAACAATTCAACACAACCATTGAAACCGGACTCAGATTCCAAGTCGCTTCATGCTTCACTTCCACCTCCGGTGGTTTCATCTTTCTTTAGAAGTTTTCTCCGTGGCTCCGGCCATGAAATCTTGTCATCCATTTCATTTGCCATAGCACCTCGAGAGGTGCCATGGATCCCAACAATTGATCCCAAAAAAATCTTATTTTATCCCAAAAATTGATCTGCACATCCGCGGACCCCAAACATGTGAGAGCGCTGATGCTTCTGCAACAAACCAGGTCGCCGCAGGTTCAAAATCATACTCGGTTGGGCATCCAAAATGGAAAGCGTACACCGAGACTACCACAACCGCAACATGCTACAAGTCACAAACAAGTTTGTGCCGGCGGGGGGAACCGGACAATATGGGGGGGTTGGGGGTGGAGGCACGAGGGAAAACATGTACTATGTGGCGCGTGCAGTTTTCCTTGTAATAATTCTAACAATTTGGATAACGTGAATTTAGAATTCAACCGTAAAATTCCAAATTTTCCAAGCTCCAAATTTAGAATTCTTAAAATTCAATTCTAAAATTCAAAGTATTCAAAATTTTTCCAAGCTCAAAATTTAGAATTTTCATGATTTTCACAATTCAATCAATTCAAAAAAACTATAAATTCCAATTTTTTCCAAGCTTAAAATTGGACGCCACCCACGCCTCAGCAAGACCCTGAGATCCTGCGGTTGCACCCAGCCGCTGCCGGGCAAACCCTCCGCCAGCTGCCGTAGGCGCCGGAGCTTGCAGGCGACCTCCTGTGCCAAAAAACCATGGTGAACTCGTGGGGGCTCACCGGCTTAACCCACCGAAATGCTGATTTCTTCAGAGATTTCAGCAAAAATATGGTGATTTCGACTCGTGAATGATATGAATGATGATTCATTTCATGAATTTTAATCTTAGCCAACCGTTTTTTTTAGATCTTTTAGCAGCAACATTAATGGTGCTTGTTTTCATGGAATTTCATGGGATCTGGTGAAATCAACAGACTTCGTGTGGGGATCTGATGGGCCATCAAGGTACCCGGGTACCCTCTGGTAATTTAACATAGCTATGGAAAATCACCATTTTTAATGGGAAAACTCACTATTTCTATGGCCATTTTCAATAGCTATGTTAGTTTACCAGAGGGTACCTGTGACGCCTTGGTGGCTTCATTAGACAAGTCTTTTTTCAGACACTGCCGACATGGCTTCAAAAAGCCCAGACATGAAAAAAAATGATGGGAACTTCCCAGGGCCGAGTTTTCCAAGGGAAACTTGTGATCAAGCGAGAGATTTTGGAAAAAAGATCCTCTTTTGCCAGACCAAGTGATTTCTGAAAACTGCCGTGGTCCTCAGAACTTGGCTTTGACATCCGTTTTACAGGGCTGTTGACCCCAATCTTTGATCATTTGTATGCAAGAAAACCAACACAGTGTTGGTTCACAAGTGGATTCCAGGTACTCAGAAACTGGAGACACACGGGCTGATTGAGTTATTGGGGCCACATTAAAAAGTAGCAGGGGCCGAGGGTGGCTGATGGTCATCTCGATACTATAGAGACAATTCAAAAAGCGTGCGACATCCATTGGTACCTGGAAATGTGGAGACATTTGGGAAGAAAAGAAAAGAACATTATGTCCCATAAATCACCATTAAATCACCATTAAATCCCCGTTCAAATCCACTAAAATCCCATTAAATCCATTAAAATCCCATTAAATCCATTAAAATCCCACTAAATCCATTAAAATCCCCGTTCAAATCCATTAAAATCCCATGAATTTTCCCTGCCACCAATCCATTGAAATCCATTAAAACCCAACATATCTTGACCCAACCATACCCAACCTATCCTCGCACCCGTCCTCATGCTTTCCTGGATCTGGAACGGCCACCTCAGGCTGGAAATTCTTGTGCCATGCATGTGAAATCCCTTCCCCTACAATGTGAGGATGTGAGGCCCCCTAGATAGCTAAGTTGGTTTATAGCTCCAATAACTATGGTTTATGGTACTTATATCTATAGTTACTGGGGCTTATAAACCAACTAACATCACTGGGGGGGCCACATTGTACCCATGACGGATCCGGCTGGTGCTGCTATATATGGTGTGCCATGGATCCTATCAATATACCCCATTTATGTTAGCATTTTTCTACCAGCACCAGCCGGATCCTATGAAATATTGAATATCCACTGGAAGCCCTGTTTCAGATGTGAATCGAAGAACATGGATTGAGTCGTCTATTTGGATGGATTCAACATCTTAGGGGAAGCGGAGTACTAGTCAAATGTGCAACGCTTGAATGATCCAGGGCCTGCCAAAGCCTGTAGCAAAGGTACAAATTTCTTCGAAATTCAAGTGGATCATCAAATTCTCTATGAACATGGTCATTTTATATGTGTCCACGTGTTCAGACACATATCCAAATAACATAAATTTAAACATACATTATACACATATGATGTATAATATATACAAAATTAACAATAATTATATCCCATTATATATATAATACACCATTAAATGGTTGGTTTTGCCTATCGTGACCTGGTGAGGCCACACCTCCACCTTTCATCACTGCGGTTTCTCTGCCTGGATCACGCCTCTCAGGTCCTGGCAGGACATTACGACGAAGTTTTTCGACGAAGGATCAGAAGACATGCTATGCCTTTAGCCTTACAAGGTGGTGCCCCCAAGATACTGGGTAAATTATAATAATTCACTAATCTGAATTAAGGCCATTTGGGGATGATTCCCCTTACTAACCATGATTTCCAGTGAGGTCGTAGTGAGGTCGTTATAATTTACCCAGAAGATAGATAAGTTGGTTTATAACTCCAATAACTATGGTTTTTGTTGGTGATATATCTATAGTTCATGGGTTTATGACCAATTTATAACTGGAGGGGGCACCACCTTGTATGACATGAAAGGAACTGATTAGCGGCTTATTTTCGGGTTGCTAACCATCAAACCAAATGTGTAAACCTCTTGGCTAATTAACCATCATCAATATGACCATGACATTAGTAGATTATAGATTCACATACCAATACAAAAAAAACACATTACCCCTATAAATCAAACAATTCTATTAATAGATTGTTTTGTAAAGATGGTTAATAATGAAGAAAAATCATGCAAAGTCTTATTAGTGATGATCATAGGTTGAAATGGATGAAATGTGTTATGAAAAGAAGGATCTGATCATGTTCACATACCCCAAAGGGACATGAAAAGATATGACCTCCATAAATCAACCATGTTGTTGTATTATTTGATGATGGTTATATATATATATATATTTTTTATATAGTTATTGTTTCAGCTGGTTTGAAATGTAAAAACATGTAAAATAGATCTCGCCCTCACGAAAGGCTGCGCATCATTTGCCAAGCGCTGCGTAAATCTTGTTCAGTGAGATAGTGTGTGCCCTGTGTTTGCTGCAAATAGTGGAAAACTATGAAAAACTATTACCCCTGGAAATCAAACGTGGCTAGCTGGAAAATCCCCAACTAAATGGAGGTTTATAGCCATCGAAGTCAATGCGGAATGTTCCGCCGCCAGCCATGTTTGAGGACACTGGAGGGTAAATGGAGAGATCATCAATGTGACACTAACCAATCAATCTTTTTTTTCTGCAAATGGTGCTGAAAAAATACAGAATCGAACATCAGCATGTCTAGCCAACACATTTGGATTAAAGAGAAAACATGAGCAAAAAGTTGGTGATACAGCTTAACACGATGGGGATCTTTGGTCATGGGTTAGAAACAACGCTTTTCATTCACCCATTTTGGTCAGGGGATTACCTTCACCCGTGGAACTGATGCCTGACCCCCCACAAGCGAAGTCACTGTATAGGTTGTATCATGGAAGGGTACCCCCGCAAACAAGTCACCCCCCGCTCAATTACAGCTTTATCTTTAGGGGTCAAATAAATAGTGTAGAATAATAAATCCTTCATGATATTGACAACCTAGAGTTTGAAAACCAGGTTATTATAGTTAATCCTGAAATGATGGTAGAGAATATGATAACATATGATTACATACTTAAGCCTATTTTAAATTGTGTGTTCTTCTTAATCATTGTAACAGTTTCGTTGGTTCCAGGGATGCTCGCCCATTCCATCACCGCATCACCGTTCCTCATTGATGGGCGCGAAGGTGGTGCTGTACAATTTGGACCTGACGACGGCGAGAAGGTGACGGCCTTCGAGCACATGATATTTACCAGGGGCATGGGTCCTAGGGGGTCTGTGGAATTCATTTCAATGGATTGGTTTAAGGGAAAATCTACAGGAAACCATGGGTTTTACCATCAAATATAGGGGTTTCCTGTAAATTTTCCCATCATCCAATTCTGTGATCATTGCAAATCAATGACTTCACTGACAAAATATGAAAGTTAAGCAACAAAACACAATATTTACAGAACCTAAATGAAGCATGCAAGGCGCATCCCCTCCTCTGGTATGTTTGTTGGGTTTTGCCCCACATTGTGGGAATGCGTCAGCACGCTGGGCCTGTAGATGGTATATGTAGCAAATCATGATATGCAATGGTTGATCTCCGTCCAGAAAAAACAGAACAAAATTGAATTGAACTAAAAGTGTGCACCCAATGCGTTGGTTCATGCCTCTGACATATCTGACCCACTGGGGGATTGTGTAAGTCTGCTATTGAGACTAATTGAACTTAACTTCAATGATAGCATTCTGGGAAGAATGCATTCAGAATGCATTCTCTGCATTCTGGGAAGAATGCATTCAGAATGCGTTCTCTGCTAAAACCAAGAACCAAGACTCCCCTAGGACTCCTGAGCAAATCATCTTAGACCTTAGATCAGATTAGCGACAGAATGCATTCTGAATGCATTCCTGTGGAAATGCATCCATCTTGGGTTTCCATTAAGCAGATGGGATTGATTCAACTACCATGAAAAAGGTTTCAACTTTGGGTCTTTTCCCCAAGCCTGAAAAAATGAACACACTGTGTCAAAGCAATGTTGCATTTTCTTGAAGGAATGCCCCACCATGTTTACGGAATGTATCACTCTTGTCGATGGCAAATTGCAAAAACGTAATGCTACACTACAACTCTTTTGGAACTAGTATCGTTTCCAGTGAATACTGCATAGACTAAGAGAGCTTTCTTATTGAAGTTATGCTGTGACCTGTCAAGTCACTTTTCTTCAGAAGGGGCGCTCTCAATCTCACAAAGGTAGCATTTGTGATGTTTTTGTTTAGCAAAGACGGCTCACATTTGTTCATTTCAAGTATACACAATTACTGTCAAAACATTAGGGCATACTGACTCTGAAAGCACAATGTAGCAGTACTTGTGCCACATGTTCAGCATGTTCTTTTAAATATCGAGCTTGTTTTTCAACAAATATCGTGTCACTTAGAGAAAAACATGTATGTTCTTCAAAGTAATGGCTGCATTTCTGAAGATAGTCTTATTTGATTTGAAGAGATACTGCATTTGATTGGAAGATGCCTTGTATGTTGCAGGGACTGTGTGTGCAACGTGTTTCTTCCTTCCAGAAGTACTGTACTCAGTACGTTATGAAATGGGTCTGTGAATTAAGAATGCATATTTACATGTTGGAAAAAAACACTGATTGATCGAAATGAAGAGATATATGTTCAAGAGAAGTGGCTTTCTGCAAAGGAATGCTACCTATTGAAAAGGAACACTCTTTTGCTCAAGGAATGCCACACCCTTTGAATGAATTGGTTAAGAGAAGGATGCCTGTTTGATCGTCTCGTGTAGTCATTTACAGTGTGTTCACTGCCTTTTTCAGGTGTGGGGAAACGACCCAAAGTTGAAGGATCTTTTTCATATGGGTTGAATCACTACTTAAGGGAAACTTTGCAGAGAGGTTGAGGTACTTGGAGGTACGTAAATTATACTTAAGACATAGTTTGGAAGGGGTACGAACTAAGAGGTCCTAGGACCTCCTAAGACCCACACAACATCCAAAGTATTGAGCCACTGCATCAGTACAACAACAGAGAAACTACATAGTAAGGAAAAAAAGGCCCAAGAAATATCTACCATGTTGATCATTAAAAAATATGCCTGCAAGATCTGAAAGCATACGAAATCTAAAATTTCACGTGTCACAAGAAGGAACAAAAACATTGTAAAAAGAAAACAATGTAAAGCTTAAAATTGACATTTGGCCATAGTGCCGTGCGCATTCTGTCAATGTTTGAATTGAAACCCTTTGTTGGGAACGCAATGGGGCAAATACCATCAAAATATGTCATTGTATCTACACATGAAGCATCATGACTCATCACGTTCAATCATCAAGTCTTCAAATGAATGAAAAAAATGCTGGCTGCTTTTGAAGGCAAAAACAAACAAAAATCACTGTAAACCACAATAAAAAAAATCGAAACCGGTAGGTTTCAGGGGGGGGTAGCACACATATATATATATATTATATTATTAAAACATATGATTAAAATATGTTATGATATATTGTATAATATATATATATATATGATGATGACAGAGGTCTCCAAAGTTATGGAGCTAACCATGACTTATCATCCAGTCATGGATAACCAAGGGAAAGTTCTAAGCTCCAATCACTGAAAAACCGGTGCGCCTGGGTTGTCCGTACTTGTACCTGGATCCGGGCTGATCCCGGGTGTTACTGGATCCTGCTTGAAACGCGGAAACGCACGCGAGGCGCATTCAAACACCGAACGATAACAAAGAGCAACAGAAGTGGACAAACACTTAAAACTTAAAACAACTAACATCTTTGGAAACAACACATCGATAACTTGACATAACTGATCAAACATATCTAAGCAATAGGTAAAACTATAGAACCATCTGAACAAATAAGTTCGAGGGAAGATTTCAAAAAAAACACAGTACAGCTTTCAAACTCCAAACACAGTCTTTTTTGGCTTAGTCTTTCCCGAGAAACAGGCTGAATTCTTCATGGATGGCTTGTCCACTTGCACTTGGGATGTACTGACCAGGGATGGTCTTACGGTCCTTGAGATAGACACCTTCTGAATGCGCAAACTGGCTATGTACAATGTGGCCCCCCCAGTTATAAGTTGGTTTATATGCCCCAGTAACTATAGTTAATTATAAGTACCATAAACCATAGTTATTGGAGCTATAAACCAACTTAGCTATCTGGGGGCCTCACATTGTAGTAATGTCTGGTAAGTACAAAATTGATGTCACTCCTGATATCACTGGGACGAGAATGGACAAGAACGGACAAGAACGGACACGAATCACCAACTACAATCTATGCCGGGCGAATACATTTCTTCTATGTATTGTCTTGGTCAGCTGGGTTGTCACGTTGCCATGTTGCCGCCACAAAACGCAAAATGACGACGATACCGGCGATACCATCGAGACGCGCGCCTTGTTGCGGCGGATCGGTGACTCCTTTTCGCTTCGAAGCGTGTCTGAGAAATCTACCTCATGCTGATGATGATGATGATGGTGGTTTATTAATGGTTATTAATGGTTATTGATATTGATGATGATGATGATGATGATGATGCTGATGATGATGCTGTTCTGTGCTTCCGGTTTCGCAACACATTATGTTTCTTTTTTCTGTGTCATGTTGGATCGGCATTCCAGGTAGTTGTTGTGTTTTTACTTGATAACGTAACGTAACATATAGAAACATATGTGTTTGTCTGAAAACCCTTAATCATTAATCCATTGATAAATCCTCATCTTCCCTATATTTCCCTATTGAATCACCATGGGGGGATAACTCCGCATCAAAAGGGCACTCAGCGTTCCAGTTCGCGGCCGAACGGAGGCGGCTCGGGTCCTGATGGCGGTCCACAAAACCATTTTGTCATGGTCCTTTTTAGCATCAAATGGTGATTTAACATTAAACATGGTGATGTTAACCATCAAAAATATGGCAAACAATGGTGATTGATGGTGATTTAACATGAGAAAACCAGGACATGGATGCAAATGGCATGTTAACAAGCTGTCATTGCATTCGCACTGATGTAACATGAGTTAACATTCGCAAATATCAGATATTGATTTTCAAGAGAGACATGGGCACCATACGCACAGGGTGACCTCTTGACCCAGAAGCTCTACTGGGTGGAGGGACATTCAACATGGAGGAATAGCCTGGGGATTGACCCTCGTAATACACTTTGTTTTGAATTTCAGAACCAAGACATCTGTTCGAAAGTTCGAAGAACTTCTCTTTGCATTCAACTTTTGGTGCAAAGTTCTTTGAATCCCAAAAAGTCAGTCCGACATTCCCATGATCAAAAACATCGTTTCCCCAGTTTTCCCCATCATTTTGTTCGAGGGATTCCCAATCATCGACGGCAACATCAAGTGCCAAGGAGCGCTGCTGACGCCCATGCAAGGCGCAAACAGGTCCTGGAATGGCGGGGATTTTGGCTATTCAACAATTTTCTATCCCATAGGATCCATGGTGCTGCTATATATGGTAACATTTACCATCAATATACCCCAAATGTTAGCATATATACCATACATGGATCCTATGGGTATTGAAAATAGCAATTTAGATCGTCGATTTACCAACATTAGGTGATGTTTTTCCATGGTTTTTTTTGTAAACGTTTACCAGAGGGCTCACAAACTGGCTTTTTCATGGACATCTGGTGGGATTGGCAATCATCATCTGGTTGGTGGTTTCAACCCCTCTGAAAAATATTAGTCAAATGGGATTATTGTTCCCAATATATGGAAAAAATAAAAAATGTTTGAAACCACCAACCAGTCATGGTCCAAGTACTTTAACCATCACCCTGGTCATATCGTGCCTTCAGATTCGGGATCCGAAGGGAATGATAGGCCAAGTAGATCACAAAACCCCAAACGTCATGGTGTTGAATTTGTATGTACCCTCTGGTAAACGTCAACAAAAAACTATGGAAAAACACCATGCTATTCATGGGAAAACCCACTATCCATGGTGATTGTCCATAGCAAACTGTTAGTTTACCAGAGGGCATTCGCATTAATTATTTCGTATTCATCTTCGACTTGAAATAAATCGTGGCTGTAGAGAGCTTTGCTGTGTCTCATCGAACCACAAAGAATGCCTGCTTTTTGAAACGATATCACTCGAAATAAAATCAATCACACACCGGATTTCTTGGTGATGTTGTCGTGAAATCGATATAACTCGGTACAAATTGTGCAAACTGAACGTCCCCATCCAAACCCCAGCCTGCTTCATTTTGGCTGGCACCACCCCTTTGTGTTGACCCTTTTGACGGTTGAAACTGCATGTTTGCTGCAAAGAAAAGGCAACTGTTGAACCATTTGAACCATGTTCAACTCATTCAAACTCATTCAAACTCCAGGTGAAAATGGTGAAACCATGTGAAACCCCATTCATTTTTGCAGGTGAACCCCCATGTTACCATCTCTGCAGGTGAAAGCCCTTCATTTTTTTTTGGCTCCCCATGTGGCACCTTGAACGGCCAGCAAGACACCGATGCCTGCGTAGAAATTTTGGACCGATCCAATCCATATCTTGCATCATTCGTACAATGTGAGGCCCCCAAGATAGCTAAGTTGGTTTATAACTCCAATAACTATTGTTTATGGTACTTGTAACTATAGTTACTGGGGCGAACCTAAACCAACTTATAACTGGGGGGGGCCACATTGTAAGAAAATGTATGAATTATGGTTAATTATATAATGATGATGGTTAAGGGTAACATCATGTAACATCTTGTGAATGTATTGTTTTATAATGGAAAATCCTATAAAAATGGGTATCCCTATGGATCCAGCCATGCCTTCTGAACAGAAGTACGACTGGGGTATGATGACGTTTTGGGGGTGAACCACCGTACTTTCTTAGACGCCATCGATCCATAGGGATCCACAGGGTATGAATGCGGGTACCCCCAAATCATCCACGGTTTCCGATGAAATAAACCCTCCAGAATTTTTGGGGTACCCCCATGGCTTAGGAAACCCCCAATTCTGTTCGAAATTGTCATCGATCCGTCCTAGGTCCTATATAATTCAATCATATGTTTCAATATCTGTTCCAAAATGTTGATCATGGAATTACAAAAGTAAACATGGCCGGGTTCATCGTAAACATCCACTCATCATTATGTTCAACATATGCTTCAAATACTGACAAACATGGCCGGTCACCAAACCCTATACGTCCCAACGTCCCTTTTATACATGGGCCCCTCAGAGAAGGTAACCATGGCTAGATCCATGGGGCCATCTATAGATGATTGATTTCTCAGCCAGATTGGATTGCCAAAGGGTATTTAGTTGTTGGTTTCAAAAAAGCAACGAATAAGGCCTCGTCAATGGTTGTTGGATGCTACTCTGATTTTTTCAAGCTCACTAAACCCATATGTTTCAGGAACATCTGGGCCGAGAATTGGAACATTTCAGAATCCAGGGTTGACACAGGCTTTCAGCTCGGGTCCATTTGCCCAATATGGATCAATATGGGCGTGTGAAAAAAATTGACCCATGGCCATACGGGTTGCTACAGAAATGGGAATACACTGGAAACTATTGATCAATGGCTTCGCTTAACCCATAGGATCCATGTATGCTATATATGGTAACATTTACCATCAATATACCCCGAATGTTAGCATATATACCATACATGGATCTTATGGGTAAGGGAAAATGCCTTTCGGAAACCATGGTCTTTACCCTCAGAAAAAATCGGCTTCCCTTGAGTTCCTATGGATTTGAGAAAAAAATGGGTCAAAACTAGTCAAACCCTGGTACCCAAGCATATAAATTAGCAAAATAACATGATTTTATGGAAGTTCACCTGAGTTGAAAAAAAACCTGTATGTAAATCCTGATCCCAAAAGCAAATCATGTGATTTCCAAGCGGCGGTCTTCATATTTATGTCTTGGCGCTTGATTCTGAACTGTTTGAACTAGAGCTTGTTGCATCTACATCAGAGCTGCTTTCAGCTACATCATATCCGTAGAGAAAGTTTCGTTCAGCAGTTTCTTTTTCAGGGAACAGCATCTTTTTCACAATGCCATGGCGGGGTCATTTTGAAACAGGGCAGAAAAGTTTGACAGTGTTACTGGGAAAATTAACCCATCTATGGAACAGATTGCTATCAGGTCAACAATGACTTGGAACGCAGCGCACATGGTATGAATGGTCTGCGGTCTCCGGGTTTTTGTGGGCAATTGGTCATTCTGACTGAAATCCTGATGTCGTTCAGTGGTCGTTCAGAGGTCGTTCTGAGGTCGTTTGGGAACCGAAAAAAATGGCTAAATAATGACCCTTGAATACACAGTAATTATACAATCTGAAAATCAGATCCCTGTCTGAATTCCCCGGAACGGGTAGGGTCCTCTGTGTTCCTAGTGGACATGCACTTCTTAGGTGCGCCCAGGATGTATTCCTTATAAAATGGCCCTATCTCCAAACATTTTTTGTGCACGTGCATTGGTGGCAGAGCACCGGGAAGAGTCTTGGGCTCGTAAAGACATGGTTCTAGAGGGAAACCGCTCAGGCTAGGGTCTCGTTGCAGAGATTACAAAGACCGTGCCAAATGCAATTTACCAGCCCCCAAAAATGCATTTAGGGTGGTTACGGGTGTAATTTGGCTGCTGATTTGTTTTAAATGTATCTAGACCTGTATAAATATATATATATATATATGTAACTTATATACGTATATTTAGGAGGTCGTTCCAATGTCGTTCTGGATGTCGTTCAAAGGGTCGTTCCCCAACTAAATGGCACATTCCGAAATTACCAAAAACATCCGAAATAGCTGCGGCGGTGCCTGGAATTCTGAACGAAGGATCGCACAATACTACTGTAAATTAACCCCCCCTTTTTTTGGCTCACCTCTCCTAAAATATGACAGCTGTCATAAGTTTTGATCGATCCTCAAATGATCAACGACATTTTTTGTGACATATTCAAGCAACATTTAGCAAGCCATAATTTTCTCAGCTACAATGTGAGGCCCCCCAGTTATAAGTTGGTTTAGATTCGCCCCAGGAACGGTTAGTTATTTGCGTAACATAAACCATAGTGAAATTGGAGTTATGTTCACCAACTTAGCTATCGTTTGGGGGCCTCACATTGTAGTAATGTCTGGTAAGTACAAAATTGATGTCACTCCTGATATCATATTCAAGCAATATTTAGTACGCCATAATTTTCCCAGCTATAAAACTTCATTTAAACATATTTACAATGTGAGGCCCCCAAACGATAGCTAAGTTGGTGAACATAGCTCCAATTTCACTATGGTTTATGGTACGCAAATAACTATAGTTACTGGGGCTTATAAACCAACTAACATCACTGGGGGGGTGGCCACATTGTAAGAAAATGTATGAATTATGGTTAATTACATAATGATGGTTAAGGGTAACATCATGTAACATCTTGTGAATGTATTGTTTTATAATGGAAAATCCTATTTAAACATATTTAGCCAACATATTTCGTTCAAGGAATTTCTGGATTTTCCGTCCTCGCAAGAGCTCCCTGGACTCCTCGGGCTTTCCGTCGAGCCTCAACAAACAACAAACGACCCCTTTTCTGTGATGAGTTCAAGAACTATACGGGACTTTAAGAAACATAGGAACCACCATATCCCATAGGATCCATGGTGCTGCTATATATGGTAACATGGATCCCATCAATATACCCCCAATGTTAGCATATATACCAGCACCATGGATCCTATGGGTATTGTTTAAGTGCATATATATATATATATATATATACTAGTTACTAGTTATTAGTATATATTTGACTTAAATATGTGTGAAGGGATGTTGAGGAACTTAAATATGTCACACATATAGATATACTCAACATCTGTGGTGCACGAGAAAGTGGTTTAACTGGGAGTAAGACATATAATGATTAAATATGATGGAATCCCAGATGTTACATTTGCGAATGAAGATCCCAGTCAGTAAACTTTAAAATATGACATACATTGAATGTTGATGTTACTTGTAAAATAGTGATGTAACTGGTTTAACCAGTAGAATTATTCACATCTAACCATTTGGTCAACTACCATTGCTGGTTTCATATTTGGAACCGAGGGATTGAATCAATCCAATCAACAAATGCCACTGGTAATTAAACTGTGAGAAGTTAGTTTGATGGATATGGATACATCTACTATAGGTCGAGTCACAAACCAACTTATAACTTTCAAGGGATCAGTTGGAAGGAGTTGCTTCTCCCGTTCTGGCAATTATTACCTCCATAGTTCATAGTTGCCTTGGAAAAAAGTTTGAAACCGCCATAACGGGCCCGTCAGGCCCGGCCTGTGGCTGTCGAGACCGTCTCAGAAGAGATGGACTTGGTCACTTCTTCTCCCCTGACTGATGGGCTTGAAAAAGCTTTCAAGGGCACGAACAGGTTGACATGTTGGAGCTTACTTTTATGGCTAAAAACATGGTTATAACCCCCAACAAGTTGGAATAAAACCCCATAAAACCCCTATAACTACGGAACATGATAGTCAAAGGGACCGGACCAAAGGCAAACTGTGTCTTTTTGTTCAGTATCTGGATGAAACTCACCTCAAACCTGTCAATGCCAACACATGAATACTCCACGAAGACCATTGCTAACCGCTGCCAACCTTAAAGGCTAACACTGAGGTACTATGCGACTTCCTGAAGATCTGAAGATCAGTATGTTCTGAAGGATGAAAAAATGGCAAACGCAAAAACGGTCCAGCGCCATACACCTAGAAAACACAAATATAAACACTCACAGACAACAGGTTCATGCATCTTGATCAGACCATATACTACTGGTTGGTGGTATACCTACCCCTCTGAATAATATGAAAGTCAGTTGGGGTTCTTATACCCAATATATGGAAAAAAATAATCCACATGTTCCAAACCACCAACCAGATTTGGTATAGATTTGCTATAGATTAGGTTGGTAGACATGGAATATCAATTTTTCGAGGCTTCAACCAAGTCAACTAATCACAGGTTAGTAGCTCTCACAAACTGTAACCGCTACCACTGTCCTTATGTGCTGACCCAACACAGGTTGGCCAGCTGCAAAACACAGGTCGACGGGTTGTGTTTTGTCCAAACAAACCCACCGAATTCACCACGAAACTTTTTGGTGAAGGAATTTTGCGCTTAACAAAACACGGCTGCCAGCATGAAGTTGTACCGGAACATTGTACTTAGGTAATTAGGTCATCTTAAATATATCAAATAAGGGAATAAATCGACAAAAAAACGCCTTTGAAAGCAACTTAAATGTTGTGTTCACGTCTGTCATTTGCAAACCAGCCATGATCCCTTTTTCATGGTAGATGCAAACCCCGCAAAGATCATCGTTAATAAGACCTGAGTAGTGATTGTTGGTGGTTTACAAGCCCTGATTTACCAGCACTCATAACCCATAGGATCCATGTATGCTATATATGGTAACATTTACCATCAATATACCTCCAATGTTAGCATATATACCATACATGGATCCTATGGGTAATAAGCCCTTGTTGGTGATTGTTGGTGGTTTATACACCATTAATCAGAATTAATCACCACTTCTCCTTCGACACGTTGGCGCTTGAGGCGTACGCAGGGTACCGAGGGTACCTCGCGGCCCGTGTCACGTTGGCAGATCCGGCTTGAAATGTATGCGTTGATATTGCGCATATGTCCCATACATGGTGTATTTACCTACATTTGAGTAATTTTGCGGATAATCCATACACGGAGAGTTGGAGTGGCGATTTCATAAAATGGAGACTCCAAAATGATTTAAAATTTGTCCGAAAAAAAACTTCAGCAGCATATATATATATATATATATATAGAGGATAATCCGTGTGTTTTGTCTTGCTATATTCTGCAAGTGTGAGTACTTCAAGATCTTGGAATAGATAGGTCGTTTGGATTCTGGCCTATGCCTCAAAATTGGGTTCTCGAATTAGCATGTAGATGTAAGGTTGAAATATATCACGACTAAAAATATAGAAAAAGTACTGTAAAATGCAACTAAATTACTTTCTATCTTCTAGGGGATTACTATATATAATAACAACCTCTAAGTGGGACAGTGGACGACCAAAACCTAGGCGTACCTGCTATCTGAAATCATCCTCTGAGGGGCAAATAGATAGTTAATGATAGTTACAATGTGAGGCCCCCTAGATAGCTAAGTTGGTTTATAGCTCCGATAACTATGGTTTATGGTACTTATAACTATAGTTACTGGGGCTTATAAACCAACTAACATCACTGGGGGGGCCACATTGTACATATGGGTCAAAAATGGTCACAACCCGTGGAATCTCCTTGCATTCGCATCAACATAGCTGGAATTTATGGTGTTGATGCCGCCGTAGCCGTAGCCCCTAGCCATTGAACAAGGTACAACTGGGGAATGGCAACAAATTCTCTCTTGCACTGTTTGCTGACCTGAGGGTATTTCGAAAACATGCTACAACAGCATCTAAGCGCTTGAGGTGTAATTCAACCTTCGGCGGTTTTACAGCCGGTTCGCGCTTTCAGCCCATCCACACACAAAATAATACGTTGGTAGAGATGAAATGATCTTCCACAGTAGGGATGGAACCTAGAACAAAACCATGTGCCAATCCAGCATGTTGGGCGGGCATTGTTTGAATATCTCCCAATTGCAGCTTGCTACATCCTGTCATTGTGTGACTTGGTTTCCAAATCATATCTCCAATATTTCTTAGCTTAAACCCTATAGTCCGGTAGAACAGCACAGCTCCATGGGCACATAAGCCACATAAGTATAGGAAATCACCCTCCAGGAGTCAAACGTGGCTAGCTGGGAAATGTTTCGAACAAACGAAATGAAGCTTGATAGCTGGCAAAATCATCAAACTAAATTCTTGTTTTCAGCACTCCACATTCAAAGCGGATGCTAAATCCCATTGCATCACTCTATTTGTTGGTTACATCCCTATGAAATCCCCATATATATATGTATATATATATATCACCCTTTTCCATGGGGAAATCCCAATTTCTTTCCTGGGGACCTCGCTATGACCACATCATGAAACGGCCAAGGCAAACGACATATTTCCAAGTTCTTTTACGCAGAGGCACAGGTCAAAGAAACCAGCAGGGTGGCCAAAACCACCAGAGCCCCAGCCTGTGGCCAATGTGTCCAGGATAATTACTAATATGGTACACAAGGTGGTGCCCCATAGTTAGATAAGTTGGTTTATAACTCCCATAACTATGGTTTATGGAAGATATAACTATAGTTAATGGGGTTTATAAACCAACTTATAACTGGGGGGCACCATCCTGCACCCAATACTATAAACTTGCCATTTGGGGATGGTTTATACCACCCAATGATGGTAGTATTGGGGTTAAGTGTGTAGAATAGTTTTTGATTTTTTTTTGCCTCAGGTTTTGGATTTTTTTTGGTTTTCTTTCCCGGTACCATTTGCCTTGTATTTGCAGCAGTTTGGAACTAGAACCTGTCGTTTTTGCATGGTATTCGCTACATTTTGGCATGGTCACTTTGCATTTTGCATGGTATTTGCTACATTTGGCCATGCTTGCCTTTCATTTTGCATGGTATTTGTCATTTTTGGCATTTCAACCTCTCATTTACATGGTATTTGCTACATTTTGGTGCTTCAAATGTTCATGTGGGTCTCTTGAGGGTTCTTTAGGCTTTCATTTAGGGTTTCATTTAAGGTTTCATTTAGGGTTTCATTTAGGGTTTTATTAAGGGCATCATTTGGGGTTTCATTTAGGGTTTCATTTAGGGTTTCGTTAGGGTTTCATTTAGGGTTTCTTTCGGGTTCGGGTTTCTTTAGAGTTTCATTTAGTTTTTTTCCCGGTTTCATGTAGGGTCTCTTATCAGGATTTCTTATCAGGAGTTCTAAACGTTCAAGTGGGTTCCTTAGGGTTCCGTTAGGGTTTCAATTTAGGGTTTCATTCAGGAGTTCAGTTAAGCTTTCTTTAGGGTTTCATTCCAGGGTTTCTTATCAGATTTTGTTTTCACGATGTCTAAAAGTTCAAGTGGGTTCCTTTAGGGTTCCTTTAGGGTTTCATTTAGGGTGTCATTTAGGGTCTCTTTAGGTTTCGTTTAGGGTTTCATTAGGGTTTCATTTAGGGTTTCATTTAGGGTGTCAATTTAGGGTGTCATTTATGATTTCTTTAGGATTAATTTATGGTTTCTTCAGGGTTCATTCATGGTTTCTTTAGGGTTGATTTAGGTTTTCATGTAGAGTTTCTTATCAGGATTTCTTTATGGTTTCTTTGGGTTTCACCTAGGGTCTCTCTAGGGTTTCATTTAGGATACAAACAGAACAGAATAAAGCAAAAGAAAATGAAAAACAAAGAGACAGTAAAGACAGGAAGCAAAGAAGCAAAGGAGCAGGAAGTAGAGCAGCAAAAACACATGACTTAAGAAAAGAATAGTAGAAGTAGAAAGGCACAGAAGTACAAAAGCAAAGAAGCAGGGAAAACAGAGAAGCAGAAAAGCAAAGAAGCAGGAAAAGCAAAAAGCAGAAAAGCAGAGAAGCAGGACAAGCAGAGAAGCAGGGAAAGCAAAAAGAAGAGAAGCAGAAAAGCAAAGAACTAGGAAAAGCAGAGAAGCAGAAAAGCAAAGAAGCAGAAAAGCAGAGAAGCAGAAAAGCAAAGAAGCAGAAAAGCAGAGAACCAGGAACCCCCCCAAAAAAACAAAACCTGCCGCGAAAAACAATCCAAAAATAAATAGCCCTCTATGAGTTATTATTGGGTTTACCATTTACCACAATACTCCCCCGTCAGGGTAGCTCTCAATACCTTGATTGCGCGATAAAAACTGCTAGATGAAGAGGCAAAATGACCAATTTACCCCTCTTAGTGGGAACGATGTACCCATTGAGTGGAGCAACCCTGCCAATGTGCACATCTTGACAATAGAATGTTCTGCATTGGTCATGAGGTTTTGTTGGGAGGAAGAGTACAGGAAACCATTGCACTGAAGCCCCAACCAATGGGAGAAAACCAAGAATTTCCTGTGAAAGAACTTGGCAGGAGCCACATCTTTTTCTTGAGTACAAAGTGGTCCTGAGCACCTTGGCAACGCACTGCATAATATCGGATACCTCATCCTTGCAGTCTAGTCTAGTCCAGCAAATTACCAGCTGAGATTCCGGTCATAGGATGTTAATATGGATGTCATATAGGTTCTCAACCCCTTAAAATATCCACGAATCCATGATGAATGTGCTTGAACTGCCTATCTCTTGACCAACTCCCAAGCGAAGAGGCCCAAGCAATCAACATCTTCCCAGGAATGTCCACAACCGGTGGATTGAGCAATGAGAATGTCCACAACTTGACCTTCAGCAAATCCATATGATTGTGATGTGATTGTGATGTGTTTTTTGATGTGTTTGTCATGTTATGTCATTTCCGTAGTAACAGTGCCTTGTTTGGTATCTCTTGGGGTCAACACACCCTCTCCATGCTTCAAGGGACCCAAAGACCAGAACTTCCATTCCAGAGCTCGACGGCCCGCTCGGGCACTCGTGCCAGCAGCTCAAGCACTTGCTGTGCCATGGCGCACGATAAGCTGAGCCAGGCCGCAGCAATTGGCAGGGCGAAAGTTTCAAAGTTTCAGGAGCGGCAGAGTTTCACGGCCTGGGAAGGATCAACACTTATCAAAAAAACAACAGCAGCAGCAGCAGCATCATCATCATCATCATCATCATCTTCATCTTCGTAGATTTTTGGCCACTGTATAGTCGTTGACGTTCAAAGGTAGTAAAACATCCAGTTTCGTGATACTCAACTTGGCCCGTTAAAACAGGACGTAGCCTGAGATCATTTGGACAAAAAAACACCTCAATTCCGAAGCATGACTGCCAAAAGATTGCGAGTGAGAAGCCAAATCATACCCTCTGGTAAACTAACATAACTATGGAAAAGCACCATTTTTAATGGGTAAATCAACTATTTCTATGGCTATGTCCAATAGCTTTTTGTATGTTTACCAGGGGGTACCTGCAAGGCAGGTCATCATCTCTGTAGTTTTTTTGGGGGGAATATTAGATCCACTAGACCCACTGACCCACTGTAAACTGTTTAACTGGACTGAACTTGGGTCAGTAAACCCAGTATTTTAGACCATCCCCAATGGAGGTTTATGAACTTGGGTAGATCATTATCTTCAATGTGGCCCCCCCCAGTGATGTTAGTTGGTTTGTAAGCCCCAGTAACTATAGATGTAAGTACCACAAACCATAGTTATACACCAACTTAGCTATCTAGGGGGCCTCACATTGTATCTTGGATGGTCTATGGCATTGATTTTACAACTTCAGTAACACACCGACAGCACGCCAGCACGCCTGCAACCAAGCCATATTAAGCAGAAACTGGCTCAGGGCCCGAACCTCCTCTGGAACCGAAGTTGCATTTGGCACCTACAGCTGAGCCAACAACTACAGCAGCCCCTATTAAAAAAACAAACTTCTAATGTGGGCAAAACAATAATACACCACCCATTTGGGAATGGTTTATATCACCTATTTATGGTGATTTGATGGTGATTTGAGAGATGGTTTATGATTGTTTTACCCACATATTTATTTTGATCTATTTTGAACCATTTGATGGTCATTGGCCTTAGGAAACCTGCAGAAATCCACACACACAAAAAACAAAACACATGTTGCTCCTTTGCTCCTTGTGGAGGGGGGCCCCACCCCCAGCTTTGGACTCCCAAACTTGAGAAATGCGTAGAAACGTGTTTTTTCTCCCCAAAATTTGAGCTGGTTGGTGGTTTCAACCCCTCTGAAAAATATTATATAGTCAGTTGGGATGATTATTTCCAATATATGGAAAAATAAAAAATGTTCCAAACCACCAACCAGGGAGTTTCAAGAGGAACGATGATGATTAACATGCAGGAAGTGGTCCCCAAGTTATAAGTTGGTTTCGCCATACGTGCAAAATCCACAAGGTTTTTTTTAGGCCTGCTTGGCAGCTTTGCTCAGCAGCTTGTCATAGCTGTGCTTGGTCATGCAGGAGGTCGATTGACAAGCCCTGCCGCTAGGAAAGCTAGAGACAAAAGTAAGTTGTTAGGGTGGCCGCCACTCTGTTTTTGATCCCCACTTGCAGACAAGGATTGTTGTTTTCGCGTTTTGCAGGGGAATCAATACTATGATCTCAGAAAATAATCTAGATTCGAAGCAGCCTAAATAGCTGTTTGCTTGTCACATTTGTGAACCAACAAACATTTAGAATCAAAACATATCAAAACTCTCTCTGAGAATAGAGCCAACATGTTCCATCCTTAAAACTCGAAACAGTGAAAAAACATCCACCGCAACTCTTTGCCCCACAACAAAAAAAAACCGTCGCCGCTAAAAACCTGTCGGGAAGAAACATGTTTCCACTTCCAGTGTCATAGACGACCAGAAATTCCTGGCACAACGACGACATCAACGCGAAGTCAGAGGGTGTCATCGAGGAAAGGGTACCCGGCCTGGTAAACGTTAACAAAAAACTACAATGTGGCCCCCCCCAGTTATAAGTTGGTTTATAAGCCCCAGTAATTATAGTTATAAGTACCATAAACCATAGTTTTTGGAGCAACTTAGCTATCTAGGGGACCTCACATTGTATGGAAAGATCCACCCTGCTATGAATAGGAAAATCAACGATTTCGACTGGGCCATGTTCAAGTTCGCAAACTGTAACAGTCATTACCAGAGGGTAAATCCCATTAACTATCATTAATCACCATTAATCACCATTAACTATCACTATGTTAAATTACCATGTTATGGTTCCCAAAACATCTTATTTTGCTCCCCAAGGGAGAGGCTACGAGTATCATTCGATCATCCCGTCATGAGTCGGTTTTTCATTGGACTTTGCATCTGAGTGTGTGCAGACTTCCCTGAAAGGCCACAAGGTTTATTTGCTGTCTGAAAAAAACAAATCAAACCTGAATGTCATGCACTTTGCAAACCTCCAAAGCTCCTGCAAGGCAAGGCAACACTGCTAAACGATAACCTCAAACCATTCCATGCTTGCAAACATCTCCCTTTATACAGTTCCCGTCGCTGCATTGCCATGCACTTTGATTGTAAGACCGATGGCAAAAAATATGGAACAATGTGGTTTCAATACGTTCCCATTCAAAAAAAACATGGTTTTCCTCAAATTTGGCGCCTGAAATAGCAACAGCTGCAAGACTGAAGACTGATTTGAACACCAAAATACCGTCTGTTAATCATTTTTTTGGCATATCGTGGCATATCATGGCAATGGAACTTAAATCCACCAAACTAGACGATGTTCATTTCATTGATTTTCCATCTTCAAATCCCCTCAGGGCTTCAGGGATTTCCCTGAAATGAAAAACCGGCTTTCCGGCGATCTTCCACCTGCGGTGGCACTCCCACGTAGATCTTCCCATAGATCGAGGAGGGAGCGGGGCTCCTTCAACAGTCGAGGTCATCAGCACCGTCAGGGGCCTGGGTGATCCTTAAAATCCCATAGGAAAGCCATGGAAAGCCCTAGAAGTCGATGTCGAAAATACCTTGGATTGCTGGACTAAAAGGGGAAACTCATAAAAATAGCAACCTGGACATAGATGTTCTATTGCTTTTTGGCTGGTTATATTCAATAATTCTGTATCATCCGTATAATATCATCAATCAAAACCAAGGTGATCACCAAGTGGAAAGGATAAATATATAATTGTGAACGCAAACATGCGTGCTGCGGACTTTTCCGCACGGACACCCAAGGCCCACATTGAGCCAGACGTCTGGCGTGGCGAAGCTGCAATGCCGTGTAGGCAACCAAGGGATTTCAACCGATACCTGACCACAATTCACACCGGCCAGAATCTCTTTCGGCTGAAATCAGCAGGAGTACCTTTGACTCCTGGTCAAAACCTTTTTCAGATAAGGACCATGTTTCCTTCATCAACACGTTTCTCAGATAGCTACTTCCCATTTTCTTAGTCAGACTATCAGATATCATCTTGGCCCCCTGAATCCACCGAACCTGGCCTCGTGACTGTTGGAAGTCGCGCTTGAGCACCGTCACATCGATGGCTGTGCGCTTGTCCTCGATGTGGGCGGAAGTGTTGCAGCACTTCTGCATAGTATCGAAGAGCGATTTGCTATCTGTGACGGCGATGCATGGGATCTGTCCAATGGCCTGCTCCCAGTTCTCCAGCCGAAGATTTCCAGCGTAGGACTCCTGTAAGAGAAAGCGCAACCAATGGATAGCCCCCACGCCATGAACCATCGCCTGACATTCGGCAGACAGTGTATTCACCGTACATCTCTTAATCTTAAAACTCTTCCAGCTCACTATTGAGATAGGATATGCCTTCTCCTCCGTCTCCATTCTCGCATCATAGAAGAAGGTGATGTATCCTCCTTGGCTGGCCAACTTGTCATGCTGCAGGAACTTTTCATTGATTCCCTTGGTGGGTTCCTTGGCCAACTTCTTTCGGAAGACACTCTGTCCGCACCAAGGTTCGTCCTTGTGAGTCCGAATCCCCTGTCGATGATTCCACGTGTCCTCGTACTCTTCTCCATCAGCTAGAGTGTGTCGTCCGTCTTGTAGATCATATACATTGGGACCTCCTGGTACTGAAGCAGGATGAAATAGAAGTCGACGAGGTTGAACATGATGACGAATCCACCTGTCGGTCTTCTCTTCCCAAAAATCTTCTGACGGGGCAGTTTTATCCAAGCGCACGTTGGCCCAGGATGCATCCGTCACAGTTCCAACTCGTAGATGCTCCAAGGGAATAGGATGTATGGTCAAACCAACAGAGGCATGTTTTATTGCCTCTCGAGCTAAAGCGTTAGCCTCGACGATGTCCTGGATGTAGGGCTTCGGCATCGATTGCTGGAGCAACGCGACTCTTCCTGACAGGTCAGGACGGGTTTCTTTGGCTAACCAGGACAGGCCACCAAGTAGGCCTCTCAGCTGACTCACCTCCTCGTCGGAGCAGTAGGCATATTTTTGCTTCTTCCGCTTGGCGTCCAGATGAATAGTTTGGAGTTTCTGGGTATACAATGGTTGATGTACCAGAAAGGTTCCATCAGGCCGACAAACGATCTCCTTCCCCACGAAGCGCCCATTTCCAGACGTGAATTTGCCCAGTTTGTAGTGCTCGTTGATCCATTTCATGTTTGTCCAGTGTTGTTCTCCTCCACCATGAAGTAGGTCATCTGTGGCCACGCTAATGATACCTTGTAGTTCTCTTCGGTCATCGAAGAGATAGAATAGGCATGGATCAGCTGCACTGATTTCGTAGCCCAGCTTCAGAAGTACCTTCTTCAAGTGTTGGTACCAAGCATAGGGTCCGTCCAGAAGGCCGTAACAGGTCTTCAAGAGTTTCAGCAACTGTCGGGGAGAGTATCCTGGTAGAGGGCAGTCATGTGGCTGAGCGGCATAGATCTCCCTCTGGATATCATCGCCACTGTGAAAAGCCTGTGTAAAGTCCAGATACCCAGGAAGCCATTTCCTGCTGCAAATCAGTTGCAAAGCACTCAGAACCGTTTCTCGACCACATTGAGGGGTCGTGGTCTCAAGGTTCTCAGAATTCTCCTCACTGAAACCTTTCATGACATGCCTTGCCTTAGCCTTAGTGCTGTTGGGTCCGTCCTCACGAAGCAACACTCCTTCTTCGTTGGCCTTGTCAATCTCGTCCTCATCGATGTTCTTCTCAGTCATGACAAACCGGGATTTCACGATTTTCTCCGGTGAGTTCCTGCGAATCTCTTCCGACTCCTCCGGGGATAAAATGGTGTAGGCTTGCGTCTTCAGGTTATTCTTCACTTCCTTCTCCAAAGCTTTTCGAAACTTCTCCTTGTCCTTCGGGTTCAGTTCATTGAACTTGACCTCCTTCTTGAGTTTTGCCGCCATAACTTTTTCTACAGAGGTAAGGTAAAGATCCAAGAGGTTTGTCCGGTGTCGCTTGTGACTTGGTCCAGACATCTCATCCTCGTCTCGTGGTCTCACCTCACCCTTGGGAACCATGTCAGGCTCATCTTCTGCCAGACTAGGTGTGTACTCATCCGCGGAGTCCAGAGTATCTGGGACCGCTCCACGAAGCTTCTTCGGTGCTGGTTCTCATTCATCTCCCTCACTCTCAACTATTTCCTCGCGTCCCCGTCGAGGATGTTGATCTCGGTGATCCTCCTCTGCTCCTTCACAATGTCCTGAACGCTGATCTTCTCCAGAATGTGGATGTTCGGGTCGAGGAAGTTCTCGTCCGTCAGGTTGAACTTCGGGTGGATGAAGTTGGAACGTCGTTCGTCCGGTCCAAGGCATCATCGGGGTCTCGTTGCCAAACTTGATGATCCAGTCGTCTTCATCTTGGAAGCTCTCTCCTCCGCAGGTGTAGACACCTCTGGTGGTACGGCGACTCCGGATTCGACTCCTTTCGACCGGACAGTTCAGCCAATCTTCACTAGGTTGGAAATACGCATCTCGTGGTTGACGGTGGACTCGATGAAGTTGGCCCAGTTTCTCATCCAAGATCCATTCATCATTCTGTTCTCCGTGAGCTCGAAATTGGATCCCTTCGAGGGCGGTTTTGCCATGTAGTCGAAATCTCGGTCCATCTTTGGGTTCAGGCTTCTCGTCAATGTCCTTGATCGCCTCCTCGTCGGTCGGGAAAGGGTCCTTGGTCAGGTCGACGTAGCCCTGTCGAGGAAACTTCTCAATCTCTGCTCGAGTGCCGGTGAGATCATTGATCCATCCTGTTAGGGTGAACCGTTCCTCCTCTGATGCAAGTCGAAGCTGCTCGGGTGCCGCCTTGACGATAAATCCTCTGTAGTTGACCCAGACAGTGCTCGGTGGTGACGTGAGAACTACCCTTCCCGGTCCTCTCCAAAAACCGGGTTGATTCTTCTTCGGTCCATCCGTCCCCTTTCGCCAGCCGATCTCGAAAGCACCTTTGAACTCCCGGCCAAGGTCTGTGTAGAGCTTTTCAGGAGGACCGAACAGTCGGACCCACTGCAAATAGGCCCTTCGTGCTGCTCCTGGGGTGTGTCCCGCCAGGGGAATCATCATCTGGAACCGGGAAGCCCAGTCCACGATATTCAAGGCCATGCGGCGTTTTCCACCATGATCGGGGAGATAAATGGTGTCCACTCCCACAATCTGATTGACGTGAAGTTGCTTTGGAGGAGCTGCTCGTCGTGCAGGTCTGGTCGCAGCATGCCTCTCGCACACTGAGCAAGTCAAATTCTTGGCTAAGTTGATGGCCTCCTCGGAGGCCTTGGCATCCTTTAGGATGCGAGCCAGACGTTCATTTCCTGGGTGGCCAAGACCTTCGTGTGCTCGACGAACCAAAGCTGCCATTGAGAAAGGACGTTCTCGTGGTAGATGTCGATGTAGCTCCTCAACCGTGTCCTCATCCTCCGGATCCTCGTTCTTCTCCCTGATGCCGCCCTCCGCAGGAGTGTGGAAGTTCTCAAAGATCGGGGCGTTCTGGCTCTTATCAACATCGTTCTTCTCCCGGTCAAAGATCTCTGCATAGATATGTTGTACTCGTTCTGACTCACGTCGGAGCTCCTCCACATCCGCCCACATAATAGTCAGTGGAGTGCCAATTGACATCTTGTATCCCTTGAGGATAGCTTCCACTAAGCGGGGCGGATAGTGTTGAGCTTGTTGCGAACGGGAACCACCTCGATCTCGACCAAGGATGGGCTCATGCACGTGAGAGCCGTCACATCTCTGACTCAGTTGTTCCAAGATGGTCGGATTATTGGATAGGAATCCAGTTGATTTCCGATGCAACTGTCCAGAAACCGCACGGAGTCCGTACTGGCACTGATCGCAGACTGTCATGTGCACCTCGGGTCGTTGAATCAGCTTCTGCATCAGCACGTCCATCCATGCCCGAGACGTCAGAGGATGTTCGAAAAGGAATGACCCGCCGTATTTGAGAACCTCAACAGCTATTTCGATTCCGAACCTTAGTAAGACCTTAGCTTCGATAAGTCTCCTGAGAAGTTTTGGATCCGACCTTGGCTCTTGATACTTACGATTCAAGTTCTGAAGCAAACTGAAAAGTGTGCAAGGTGGCGAAATGACAACAAGACCAGGTTTCATGTTTTGAATATACCTTCGAACCTCTTGCCTCATGTCAGCTGAAGTCAAATCATGTCCAAGTTTCAAGTCAAAAGCTTGTCCAGGGCACAGTCCATGCTTGTCCAATTGATCCTTAAACCGATGAGGATTATAGAGTTCAGCGACGGTTTTCAACTGTTTTTCAGTTCTTTGAAGCAGCCAGAGATATTTTTGACGGTGACGACGGTCAGAGCAACTAGAGTCACATCGAGACCAGCCGACGGATTCTACCTGATCCGCTTCTGTACGTAATAGGCTCATAAGTTCCGACCAATGTCGTTCGGCCGCATCCAAAGCTGTCCTAGCCTGTTTCAAAGTGCGACGTTGTCGCCTATTCAAACTGCCGGTCTCTTTGGACCCTCCGTCAATTACCTCCGATGCACTCAGTCGCTCTCGCCCTCTTCCTTCGGCTTCTTCTGGGAACTGCGCCACTTGCGGAACTCCTGGAACTCTTGGAATTCCTCCAGGGTCTCCTTTGTCATCCGGGTCTGTTGATGTCCGGACGATTTGCTCTTGGATCCACTGCTCTTGCTGCTCTCGCAGTCCGATCCCTTGTTCTCCTTTCTCAGCAACTTGCCACAGTCCGCACACTTCTCCTGGATGCTGACTCCGTTCGTCCCCTGTCGAGTAACTCGTCGATGAAGACAACGTGAGGTCACCTCGCTGCCCGCTGGGGTACTTGGAGAGCTCTGCACTGACATAGCTGGTGTCCCCGGTCTCGTGCTCCTCATTGATGTAGCCCTGCTCCCGGTTGGACGGCTCGGTGACGCCGGTGAGGCCTTCCACGTTGTTGATGGGGACTTCATCTCCGTCCAGTATGGTTGATGGAGCGTCCATGCAAAGTAGGGGCACTGTAGTGCTCTGGGTTGATTGCACCTCCAAAACAGACGGCCGTGATTCGCCCCTTCCTTCCGGGCGATGAAGATCTTGCAAGGCATCCCGTGTTGACATACTGGTGGAGTGCCCAGGATCTCCAGGTCCTCCTCGGTGACATAGCCGCCCGCTGACATCTCGGAATTCTGAGATCCGGCAACACTGGATCCCGGTGACCCCGGTGCTTGACGCGGTGTTGGGTAGTACTTGGGCTGAAAGCTGTTCTCGTTCTCGGTCTCCGGAAGAGATACTTGGTCCCAATTGCCGATCTCGCCCTCCTCCTCGGCAATCTCGGGTAGTGATCCGGTGACATAGACTCCGGGCACTGGTGGAAACGCCGAGAACGGTTGGACCGGTCGAGGTCGAGCCAGTCCAGCCAACCGCACCATCATCTCTGTCATGCGGGCCACCACAAAGAGCACCTTCAGGACCAGTCTCTGCCAAGCGGTTATGGGCTCCGTCGTCACGTCGGTGGCCGAGCGAGATCTCTTCGTCGCGCCCCGAGCATCCATGGCCGTGGTTGGGATCATGTGAACCCGGTGAACCTGGTGATTCGACGGTCTGGGGATCAGGCGGAGCTTGAGCAAAAACCTGTGTCGTTCGCAAAACCTCAAACTCAGTCGCTTGATTCTGAAATTGCTGTTGTGCCAGATTAATTTTCTCCATCATGTCTTTGGTGAACTGGCCCAAAGGTACTCTCAACGCTCCACTGGGTCCGAGATGACACTTGACATGGTATCCAAAACGTTTCAACTCCATGCCCAACCCTCGACTAGGATCTAAGTGCAGCACAGCTCTACAATGCATCAGGAAGGGCAATGAGATGAGAAATGGAGCGTCCCGTGATTCTGGGTTGTCAAAAATGGCAGGACGTAGTAAACTTCCCTTAGAACCCAAACTGGTAGGGATCACCGCCGCAAACTTGGTGGTCGAAGTCCCATGCACCGATCGGAATTTGTGTTCCTGCCTATTCAATTTGGTCTGCAAACCAGATGGCAGGGCTTGGTCAAACTTCTGTAGGGTATTGAGTCCAATAGCCATACGCTGACAACCAGTATCGATTGTGGCACAAAGTTCATCAGGGGTTTCATCAGAGAACCAAGCCGACTTCCGATTAATCTCACTCCAGAAAATGGGGGAAGGCTCCTGAGAACACACACAAAAACCATCACACGCCCTACAACCAATATCATCACCAACAGTGCTCACACGGTCCTTATAACCCTGGCAAAAATTGGAGAATCCAGACTGATCCAAACTCTGTACAAAAGGTCCGTTCTCAACTACGTCCGTGTCCTGGGTTGTTCCCGGACACACCGGCGCGCTCTTCTCAGTGGTTTCAGACTCGGTCAGAAGAGGTTCAAGGTGGCCGCAGAAAATGGCCTCGTCGGTTTTGAGAGCCTTCTCGGTCTCGACAAAGTTAACCTCTTTGGTGTTCGAAGTGCTGGGTCGTCCCTGGTTTCGAGGACATTCGGGATCACGGTGCCAATGGCCGATTTGACCACATTTGGAGCACTTGGACTTGGCCTTTGCCTCGCTCAAGGTCATCCTGTAGTATCCCCCTTTCACATAGCCTGAGGTTGCCATAGAGCTCTGGGATCTCGATGACGAAAAATTTCCCTTGTCCTTCCATTGGCTGTACCCTCGCGCCAATGCTTTGGCTCGCTTGGTCTTCAGACTCTGCATGAACGTCTTTTTCTTAGAGGTTACCAGGGTGTTCAAAATCTCCTTGGCCTCGTGCTCTTCCAAAGCGTCCTCGAAGTCCTCGGTGCCCAGCTCGGAACCTTCTTCTCCACCTTCATCAGGATGTAGCTCCCGATAGATCTCCTCCATCGCCTGCAACTCGTCCTCGTCCTCCGGTTCGACGGTCGTAGTCACATAGTTTTGGTAGGTCTTCGAACCTCCTTTGCGTTCGACTCCAACATCGCGTGCCTGAAGCTTCATCTCGTGCTTGCGGCACCACTCCTTCACATCATTCACCAAGATGGAGCCCCGACTGAAGGCCATCAATGCCTTCGTATCCTGCTCGCTCAAGCCAAGCGCATTGATCAAAAGGAATCCTAGGTATCGGTCCGGGAGGGTCACCTTGTGCTCTCCGATTTTTCTCACAGCATCATCCCACCTGGTGAAAAACTGCCGGCAAGTCTCCTCCTTGCCCCGCTTCAGATGGTATGTCAGCTTGGAGAGGGAGGAGAGTAACTCCTCCTCGGTGTCCTCGCCGAAGTACTCCGGCGTGTCCATTGCTGCCAGCAGCCGATGTCCTCCTTGAGAATCCTTAAGCCACTCTGCGTCCTTGGCCCAATGCTTGAAGCTCTGGAAGGCCTGTCCACTCAGGCGCTGCAACATGAGTGGGCCTTGGGTGTGTCCCTTGGCCCGAGTGGTTGCCAACCAAAGCCGTGCTTTGATTGCCCAGTCCTGGAAGTTTGTCGAGCTATCCCACTCTGGCGGCAAGCCAGCACCTAGCCCTTTTCCTCCAGGACCACGTTCTTCTTCTTCACTTTCAACTTCGCCACGTCGTCCTCGGCCATCGCGTCGAGTTCGACCAACTTCTCTTCGCCGATTGGCTCGTTCACTAAGCCATTCGCGAAACTCATCACTATTGAAGCCATCCGCTTCTCCTTCTGAACCTGAAGGCTGAACATCTCCTCGTTCGACTGACTCTGCACCGGCAGCTGCTTCACCACCATCCAAGCTCCCATGGCTAGATGGCACACGTGCTGCCATGAAACCTACACCCTAGAGCTTTATGCTCCGCTACCACTGTGAACGCAAACATGCGTGCTGCGGACTTTTCCGCACGGACACCCAAGGCCCACATTGAGCCATACGTCTGGCGTGGCGAAGCTGCAATGCCGTGTAGGCAACCAAGGGATTTCAGCCGATACCTGACCACAATTCACAATAATATATATATATATATATATCCTAGAAAATGATAAAGTAGGTGATCATCAAATAATCCTGACATCAACTGGAAGGTCACCTTTTCTACAATGTGAGGCCCCCTAAATAGCTATAGCTCCAATAACTATGGTTTATGGTACTTATAACTATAGTTACTGGAGCTTATAAACCAACTTATAACTGGGGGGGCCACATTGTAGTGATGTGAGAAGTGCAATTTATGAATTATGACCCACTTAGTAAAGATGGATCCTAATTTCAAACACCCTACAAAAATATCAGCAAAAACAGACCTTCATACGACAAAACGAGCGACATGAAATGGTGGGTTCCCACCATATCATTGCCATGGTTATGCCGGCTATGCCGTGACCCCTCAACAAGGGTATGGGTCAAAATTAGGTACTCCATGTTTTTTCCATGGTTAATACTAAACTAGACTAACAAAAAAGTGGTCCCCTAGGTCTTCCATTTTGACCCACATCCATATCAGGAAAAGGGTACTACCACGCTTTGGGGGACAAATGGTGCCATGTTTGCGAAGGGAATTTCAGGATCCAGGTGAAACCCGTTGGTGGCAATCACTTCCCTTTGTGTTCCCCCGCAACGTTGCGTTTCTTGTTCAAAAAACTCATTGAAGTATTAGAATCACCATGAAAACCATAGTGATCATCTAGTTATAAAATGTTACAATGTGAGGCCCTCTAGATAGCTAAGTTGGTTTATAGCTCCAATAACTATGGTTTATGGATGTTTATGGTACTTATAACTATAGTTACTGGGGCGAATCTAAACCAACTTATAACTGGGGAGGGCCACATTGTATAAAATATTATAAATCAACTTTTCTAACATAAATCAATCTTAAACCCCGAACATGGCTCCTTGGAGGTGTCACGGCCAAAGGTGTGGCACCCGCATCCTCATCTTCGATGAGTGATGAATCAATGGATTAATGATGGTTAATATATACACCATATAGAAAATGATGGTTAATAGGGACTTAAAGGATGATTAATTGATTGTTGATGGACTATGAAAGGATTCTGAATGATAAAGGTAGGCCATTAACTGCTATTAATGATGGTTAGCATCCTGATTATAAGCATCTTTAGTAAGATTATTGTGAATGATGCTTATATAGTGATGGTTATACTAATGGGTAACATAAACTGTTAATTGACTCTTTATAAATGGGTATCCCTATGGATCCAGCCATGCCTTCTTAGGAAGTACGACTGGGGTATGATGACGTTTCGGGGGTGAACAGCCGTACCTTCTCAGACAGTGGCCATGGGTCCATAGGGAAGGATATACACCTTAGATCACCTTAGTCACTCACGTGACTATAAACTGCTAGGACGAAAGCTGCGCTTGCGCTTGTTGAGCTTTCAACAGTGAAAATGTTTGGCTTATTCTTCTGCACACCTTTGTCGTACTCCGGTCGCATTTCCACCCTCCAAAAGCTTCTAGTTTACAAGCGGGCGATAATTGACCGTCCCCCACGTGCCACACAGAACGCACTTGGAAATGTGATCCGTGGTTGACCGAGATGGATGTTTTGTAAAGCTTTCACCAAACATGCACTTTGTTCCTCCTGAAGATCTGAAGTGTGTTCCACAAAATCCAAACCATTTGCAGTGATAGTGATAGAGCAGTTACATACTGCTGTTCATGGCTCGATCTTTCTGGAGATCACAAAAACGACTCTGACCAAATGCCATCCTCAATTTAGCCAATGCTGAACTCAGTTCTGAAATCATGACTTACCCTCTGGTAAACTGTTACATAACTCTGGAAATCACCATTTTCAATGGGTAAATAAGCTATTTTTATGGCCATTTTCAATAGCTATGTTTGTTTACCAGAGGGTAGGTTTTTGATGGTTGTTGCATGGTTTTGCAACTTTCGGGCCGCATGGTGTTCTCCGAAGAGGTACAGAAAATCCACAGCATGATGTGACCATCCAGGTTCCAGAGGGCGGGGTATTGAACCACTGTGTCATGACAATCTTTGGAAGACAATGTTCACTGATTGGTGGTTTTTTCAACCCCTCTGAAAAATATTAGTCAGTTGGGATGAGTGTTCCCAATATATGGAAAAATACGAAATGTTCCAAACCACCAATCAGTTCAGCGTTGAAAGGCAAAACAAAACGAAGAACCCAGTGTTTAACGTATATGGAGACATACGTGCAACATGTCTACTCATGAATAATATTGTAGTATAATTAATATACATATATAAATGTTATATTGACATGTATCAAAGAGAAAAAACAACACGGATCAACACGGATTATTATATAGGCTTTTGTTTACACGTGTGTGTGTGGTTCAAAACAACCCAAGGTTTCTACTGCTCCAAAATGCCCCAGGTAACACCGGTGCTCAACTCGGCTTCCCCACCGAGTTCTGTAGATGCCTCACACGGAGAAACACCACAGGGCCCCTCTATGCCAAATGCTCTATGGTGTTGGAATACTCACCTTCAATTACCACAGACATGGCCCAGTAATGTAGGTTAGTATATGATAATACATGTAAGTCTACCATACATGGAGCATATGGGTATAGCATAAGATGGAGATGAAATATAAGTTGCAACTTACACCCCAAAAACATCATGGAACTGGGGTCTCTTCCTGCAAAGTTCTTCAATGTGCATCGGCCAGGGCAATCGTTCAGCTTCCCAAGACCACTTGAAGACTTGGGGCACCTGCAGCCCTCTCCTCAAGGTCTTCAAGGGAAAATACATGAAACTGGTTGGTGGTTGACCTACACCTCTGAAAAATATGAGTTCGTCAGTTGGGATGATGAAATTCCCAATATATGGAAAAATCACAAATGTGCCAAACCACCAACCAGGAAATGAATTGAACTGACACAAGCCCAGGGCATTCCAAAAGTGTTTTCGCACCTGCGACACAATCTGAATCATCTACGATAAGTGGCTTAGGAAAAAACAACTGTCAGTCACTGAATAGTTGCATGAAAGGTACGTACTTCAGAAAATAATACGCTTGCTAGGGTTAAATCAATGGCCATTTTCAAAATTTCAGGTTCCTAAATTGGAGGTACCTACCACATAAGGTACAGTACCTCCATTTTAGTATCCTGGAATGGCCATTGATTAAACTTGGGATAACTTGGGCATGGTTTGTTGGCTCACCATTTTTTACGACACGCCTTGGACAGCTTCTGACGGCCCGGCACAAGTCTGACCAGATCATGAAGGTGAAATATAATCATGGCTTAAACGCTGATTCGCAGACCCAGAAAAATGGGTCACTTTCACATTTTCTCATCATCTCTCAGCAATAATCAAAACTCACATGATTTGAGCCATCCCAATACTATCGCGATGGCCTTCCGCTTTGACCTCGCAGGACAGAAGCGTCCTTGGCTCAGAGATGAGTCGGTTGCTCCCAGCCCAGGTCCGAATGAGGACTCTCTGATCATTTAGCAGTTTGCGAACTGGAAAATCACCATGCGATGTTCGAACTAAATGGGCCATTTTCCGCTAATGCCAACACCGGATTAATAACCCCCCCCCACCAGGTAGGTAGGTAGGTACCTTCTGGCTAGTTTTCTTGACCACCCTTAAAATAAACGCACCCTGAACCATAAAATTCTGAACCATAAAACTTTGGATATGGCTTACGTCAATTAGATCTTAATAGAATTCCATTGGATTTGTTAAAATCTGATGGATCAGAAAGGGGGGTGATTAATCAGGGGCAAACCGTGGTTAATATTAATGGGGGACATGGGCTCATGGGGGGTACCCTTTGGGAGCTATCCAAACTGATGATTTTTAAAAAGATTTTAATTAGAAATCTTCATTTGGTGAATAGTTGTTTTTTGAAATTTTCAATGATCAACTTAAACCTTAAGTATAACAATGATGATGAAAAAAATAAAAAATGGAAATAAAAGGAATTGGAAATAAAAATTGTTGGATAAAACAATGGAATTCAGAATTGGTGGTTGATTAGTCGGGGGTAGGCCAAAATGTTTATTCATCTGGGGGGACCACCTGTTTTTAAATTACTTTTTTTTTGCAGTTGCTGTTGATTAATCGGGGGGGCATTATTAATCCTCACTTGACATTATCTAGAATTGCAAATCAAGAGGTCAAATCACACATTGAACCCCCGCGTGGTGGCTATCATGGAGCCGATGGATACCACCCTTTATCTAGATAAAGTGTCCTGTTTCAAAACCAACACAGCTTGTAGTGCATTGGTGCCTGTCATCACAAGTGCTTGACCAGCATGTTTTGTGCAAGCATCATTACCCAAGTACGACGCACTCATTGCTATCATAGGTATTCAG